AACCAAAATTAAAATCCCAAGGCCTCCCAATCATCTCAAACACTGGTTCAGGCCAAGATGGGAAGAGGGGAGTCAGGCAAGCCTCATTACCACCCCCTCCCTTTTGGAATTCAGGAAAAGCTCACCAGCATTTAACATCAACACTGACTTTAAGTCTGAAAAGAAACGTGATCTGGCCAGGTGGGGTGGCTGACACCAGTAATCCCAGCACTTTGGGAGGCTGAGGTGGGTGGATCACCAGGTCAAGAGATTGAGACCATCCTGGCCAACACAGTGAAAACCCATCTCTGCTAAAAATACATAAAAATTAGGTGGGCATGGTGGCACTGACCTGTAGTCCCACCTAATCAGGAGGCTGAGGCAGGAGGATGGGAATGAACCCAGGAGGTAGAAGTTGCAGTGATGAGATCGCTACCACTGCACTACAGCCTGCTGACAGCGAGATTCCATCTCAAAAACAAAAACCAACTTAATCTGTTCTCTCTCTGAAGCCTCCAACCCAGAGGCTTCATCTGCATGATAAAACATTGGTTTGGTTTCCACAACCTCTTATTGTAACTCAGACATTCCTTCCTTTTTTTTTTTTTTGAGATGGAGTTTCGCTCACGTCACCCAGGCTGGAGTGCAATGGCGGGATCTCGGCTCACTGCAACCTCCGCCTCCTGGGTTCAGGCAATTCTCGTGCCTCAGCCTCCCAAGTAGCTGGAACTACAGGCCCGCGCCACCATGCCCAGCTAAATTTTTGTATTTTTAGTAGAGATGGGGTTTTATCATGTTGACCAGGATGGTCTCGATCTCTTGACCTCGTGATCCACCCGCCTTGGCCTCCCAAAGTGCTGGGATTACAGGCAGTGAGCCACCGCGCCCGGCCCATTCCTTTCTTTTAATAACTTTCAACCAACTGCCAATCAAAAAAATGTTAAGAGGGCTGGGTACAGCCCTCTTACCTGGAAGCTCCCACTTCAAGTTGTCCTACCTTTCTGGACCAAACCAACGTATATCTTACACTTTGGGAGGCCAAGGGTGTCCGACTGCTTGAGCAGTGGGCTTTAAGACCAGCTGGGCAACACAGTAAAATCCTGTCTCTACAAAAAAAATACCAAAATTGGCTGGGTGTGGTGGTGCAAAAGTTTTCTTTGAGACAGGGTCTATCGCCCAGGCTGTAGTGCAGAGGCACAATCTCAGCTCACTGCAACCTCCTCCTCCTGGGTTCAAGTGATTATCCCGCCTCAGCTTCCTGAGCAGCTGGAATTACAGGCACCCACCATCATGCCCGGTTAATTTTTGTATTTTTAGTAGAGACAGGGTTTCACCATGTTGGCCAGGCTGGTCTTGAACTCCTGACTTCAGGTGATCCACCTGCCTCAGCCTCCTAAAGTGCTGAGATTACAAGTGTGAGCCACTGCGCCCAGCAAAAAAAAATTTTTTTTGAAACGTACCTCTAACCTGGAAGCTCCCACTTCAAGTTGTCCCACCTTTCTGGACCAAACCAACGTATATCTTAAATACATTTGATTAATGCCTCATGTCTGTCTAAAATGTATAAAACCAAGCTGTACCCTGACCACCTTGGGCACACGGTCTCAGGGTCACCTGAGGGCTGTGTCACAGGCCACAGTCACTCATATTTGGCTCAAAAATAAATCTCCTCAAATATTCCACACAGTCTGACCTTTTTCATCAACTGTGGTCAATGTTTCATTCAACTTTTGATTCTAAACCCGTGGGAGTCCTGGGACTCTGCCAGGGCCGCTAGTAAACGCAGGGCCCAGGAGGGCAGCCCAGAGACTCCTGGAAACCAGCAGCAGCTCAAAGAAACTTTCACCTTCAAAAACCCCCACTCTGTCTTATCATACTGCTGGTCTGTTACCCTCAGTAAAACAGTTGAGAGTAAATACTAGAAAGTTTCTAACACAGAAAGTCAAAAAGTTTTAAAATTGCATATTATTCAACCATAAAGAAACATATTCTAAAATGAGATTTAGGTACAAATTCAGATTTCTCAGTCTCACCCCGTTTCATTCAGTTCTAGGAGATCATAACCTGCTCTCCAGCTCCTGGAGGCTGGCTTTTCTCCTCTCAAGGACCCCACTGCCCTTTTTAGTCACACTCGGTCAGGACATGCAAGAATGGACTCCTCAGGGAGCTGTTTCAGAAGGGGCAGTTTCCAGTTCCAGGCCCCATTTCCTAGGGGCCCTAATATCACTAGTGTTAGATATAGTGAATCCCAAGTTTCTCTTCAAAGAATCAGCATGTCCGTATGTTCAGCTGTCTTATTCTTTAATTCTCTGTTTTAAAGTTTAGCTTTCCTGTAATTCCAGTAACAACCTTCTCCACTGGTTCTAATCAGTGGTTCACATCTGTTCCCCTGTCCCCGCTCCATCCAGACTCATCCTGGTCACCTGCTCCAGTCACCTTCTTTGACTTAGGTCACCCCTGGCTATCTGCTCTGACCTGCTGGTAACCATCCTTCCTGCCAAAACACCCACCCTGCACTCCAGCTGGGACCCCTGCTCTCTTTAAAACAGCCAGTTTTAGTCCAGCTTGTGGGATCTAACCCTAGCTAATAGGGGAATGGCACAGCAGTACGGACAACCCCGTCAGGCATAAGTAGCCTTTCCCTGCTTGCTCAAGCATGCGGCCTCCACTACGCCACCCGTGGGCTGCACCCTTCTGCAGAAGTCAACTGCCTTGCAGAGAGGATTTATCTTCGAGTGCTATTTCTTTTGTGGCATCGAAATTTTACTTACAACATTAGCCAATACTGTAAGCAATAAAATTAAATAAGGGATCCAAATGCAGAGTCTAAAAATTTGTGTAAACTGAGTATTTTGACTCAACACTCTTCTCTGAAGGTCAGATAAGTACAAAATTTCGAGTATAACACATTTAAAATGAGCTTGCTTTTATTTTTATTCAAAATGCACAGCTTTATTTTCCTTACCAGACAGAGCCACACATGCAGCATGTTACAGTCATGACTTCTTCAGCGTGCTCCAGGGCTGCCACAGGATTTCCAGGAGCTCCTGGCCAGAGGAGTCCTGAGATTTAAAATAGTAAAGCTTTCTCCACAGCCTCAAGTTCCTTTGATGTTTGGGTTACTGAACACAAACTGAATGGATAATTTGTCTTCAACATAATCCACTTCTGTTTCTCAGCGTGGTTAGCCGCACTTTGTTTTCGATGAGCACTCCAATGTGAATGTCGTCAAAATCTCTTTTGTATGTTCTAGAGTATAAGAAAGGCCAGTACAGCCCCTGCTTTGGACACCAGTTTTCACACCTAGATGCTCAGGTTGATCTTTAAGCTGTTTTATTTAGTTTCCTGCTGAAGGTGTCAGGGTGAGGGCGGCCCAGGGAGTCTGTTCACAGGCTAGTCAGTGGCCAAGACTAAGGAAGCCGACATCCTCACCGTCCTCCTGGACTAACTCAACCGCTGTCCCCGTGGACACGGCAGGCGCATTCATGAATTTGCTTTTAAACCTGCACAAGAGTCTTTCTGATCATTAGTTCCTAAAATCCTACATTACCATGGAAATATCGTGAAGACTATAAGGCTCCCCTTAAAGTGGGCAGAAACTGAAGAGGCGAAGAGTCCTAAAATCTCACAGATACACGGAAACGGCTAAGAGAAGACAATATCAAAGCAGGGAACCACAGAAGAGCGTTTAAAGACTACCAGGAAAGAGCCCGCAAAATGGAAAAACTCAAAAGAGGTCAAGAGGACAATTTACATAATTTATAACAAAGGAAGGGAGCGTCCCAGGCTCTCAAGAGTGTGTAAATGACTTCTTCCCAGGGGGAATGCCATGTCCCCACAATCGAAAGTCAGCCCGTGCCTTCTGGAGCTTTTCTAAATATGTCCCCTTACAAACGCTTCTTTAAAAAAAAAAACAAAAGGGCGAGAACGTGTGGCGTAGTTAATATTCCGTCTTCAAACTCAAACGGAAGTCAACAAAGAAAAATCCCGGCTGAAATCAGGGCCGGCTGGGTTCCCCGCTCCTCCTGTAGGTGAACTGTGCCCGGGGCTCGCCACCGTGGAGCGTCGGGGACAAGGCGCCCCGGGCCGGCGGGCTCTGCCTGGCGTTATGTAATCACCCCAGACCTGGCAGCCGGGCCAATCCGGGCGCCGCCGACCCGCTCCACTGCACAGCGCGGCGGGAGCGACATGAACAGGCGCGTGCGGGCTGGGAAACGGCCCGCGCTTCAGGGGCCACGAGGACCCGGCCCCGGCCCGGCCTCTCCACCTGTCCCCTGGCCCGCGCCCCCGCTCCCAAAGCGTCCGGCGGGCCCGGCGCACCCCCCAACAGGCGGGCAGACGAGATCGACGCCCACCGCGCAGCGCCCGGGGCAGGTCCTGGGCTCGGAGACCCGCGAGCCGCCCTCACGCTCCCGCCCCCGCGCCTCCCGGCCCGCCTCACTCACTGTTGTACTGCACCCCCTTGGCAAAACGCCTCTGTAACGCTTGGTTCATGGACTGCAGCCCGGCGGGAATGTTCTTGTCCCGGCCCGGGGCCTGCTCCGACCCCACCAGCTTCTTCAGGGCGGAAAACATCTTCCCGCTCGGACGTCCCAGCCCGGGAGCGGCCGGCAAGCTCAGCGGCGGCGGGGAAGCGGCGCGACTCGCACCATGTCTCGGCGGCCCCGGCCTCCCTGGAGGCTGGAGCCGGCACGGCCAGAGGCCAGGATCCCGGTGGTGGAGCGCGGCCTCGAGCGGCGGCTCGGAAACCTCAGCCGCGGCGGCTCCGCTCCGGCCCCCGCGGCCTCAGGCACCGCCACACTCCAGGCGTCAGCGCCGCCATCTTGGCGCCGGCTTTGCGGGACGCCGGGGGGTCGCGAGGCTACGGGGCGCCGCGAGGGCCAAGGGCCGCGGCGCGCGCGGTCGGCGCATGCGCGGGCGGTTGTGGAGCGCAGTTCCCGGCCCCGGCCGTCTGCTCCCGCCGCGCCTCCCAGGGGCCTGCGTGCCCCGTGCTACTCCCTGAGATCCGGCGCCCGCAGTGGTCCTGGAAAAATGTTTATTTGTGTAACAAAGCGGGGAGCGGGGCGGGCGGGGCTACTTCTTCTTCTTCTTGGACGCCTTTAGCTTCCCCTCGATCAGCCGCTGCGCCTGCTTCTTGATCTCGGCGCGCGAAGGGACGTAGCTGTGGTCCACATCGGCGAACTGGAAGGTGTCTGCTGGCGGAGACGGCGGCTCGCACGCGCCTTCCCGGGGCGAGCCCACCCAGGCGCCCGGCCCGCCTCTCACCCCGCCCTCCGACCCCGGCCGGGTGCCCTGCCCCGGGGACAGCCCCCGCGTGCCGGGAGGACTCAGCCCAGCCCCTCCTCAGCTGCTGGCGCTGCCCTGCCTCGTCCTTCCCGCGGAAACCCCCTGGAGGCTCCGGCCCAGGCCTTCCCCGCGCTCCTCCCTGCTCTTAACCAGCCCCGGCGCCTCTCCCGCCGTCCTGTCTGGCATGGCATGCCCCTCCTTTCCGAGAAACGAAGTCATAAGTTATTTCAGTGGCTTTAGCCTCCTCCCAGGGCATCACCGAGTCTCCTCCATCAATTATAGTCCCGCAGGTACAACGGTCTCGCCCTGTAGCCCTGCTGTCCCTCCCGGGTGTCCTGGTGGGAGGTGAGCCAGGGTCTCGCTCCAGCCACCCGCCAGCAGCCGGCCCCTTTCCGAGACTTGTACCGATCATGTCCTCCTCCGGGTCTTCAAAGCTGATCCTGATGTTGTATTTCTCCTTCAGAGTCGAGGACTCCAGGGTGTCCCTCACCTTCGTGTTGGCCTGCAGGACAGAGCCCCCTTCAACCATGCAGACACTCTGAACGGGGCGCTGTCAGCTTTGAGGGGGCGTGGACTGTGCAGGTTCCTCCCAGCCCGGGGCTACCTCCTCCGTCCTGGACACCGTCTGCACTTTGTCAGCCAGGTACGTGAGCTTCCCCTCGCAGTACGCCAGTTTGCTATACAAATCGAGGGTGTCGGAGGGCACCACTTCTCTCTGCAGTCGGGGAGGAGGGTCTCATCTCCCCTGTGGCCCTGCCCAGGGACCCTGTGTACAGCAGCTCCGCCCCACTCCCGGTACCTGGGCGGAGGGCAAGGGGATGCCCATCAGCCGGGCATAGAGGTTGTCGACGCCCATCTGGATGGTCAACAGCAGCTTCTGGCCCTTGGTCATGTTGCTGTGCATGAGCTGCAGCCTCTCTTCTTCCTCTTTCAACATGTCTGTCATCTTCTTCTCAATGGACTTGAAGCTGCAGAGGGCAACAGGGACACAGCAGTGAGGGGCACAGGCCCGAGGGCCACCCAGGAGCCCCGTCCTGAGTTGGGTGCTATGCTAAAGTCAGGGACTCAGAAGCTCAGGTGTGGGCAAGTGCACTCCCCAGCCCCTCTGTGGGACACGCCGGCTTGTTAGCAGTGGATATACTCTCAGTTCCCAGCCTGGCTGCAGCCCAGGGGCCTTCGTGGGACCCTGGTTGGTGGCCCGCAGCCCCAGAAGCTGGGAGCACCTGATGGAGCTGGGCATCTGGTGGAACTTGAGCACAGCCTCCTCCAGCTCCAGCTGCTTCACCAGGGCCTTCAGCCGCAGCCGCCGCTCCTCACAGTCCTCCAGCTGCAGCTCCAGGTTCTCCTCTGTGTTCCTCTGGGCCAGGAAGCGGCCAGCAATGTCCTGGCCAGGTTGGGGGAGGGAGAAGCAGGTGTGGGCCAGGAAGGCAGGCACAGGGGGCTTCACAGAACTGGCTTCTTCTGTGCCCCTCCCAGAGGCTAGTGCACATTCTCTGCACTCATTCACAAGTGCAGTCACAGCTCACTGCAGCCTCAACCTCCCAGACTCAAGCAGTCCTCCCCCTTGTCTCCTGAGTAGCTGGGACCGCAGGTGTGCGCCACCACGATCAGCAGGGGTGAAGCGCTTGGTGGGTGTCATTGCATGCAACCCTTACAGCAGGCAGAGAAAGTAGATAACCCCATTTAGAGATAAGGAGACCATCACTGAGGGACACTGTGTCACTCTGAGTCCCTTGTCTGATAGTGGACAAGCTTGTCAGGGCAGTGGATGGGAGCTCAAGGCCTAGTCATGATAAACCGAGGGCCGAGCGCAGCGGCTCATATCTGTAATCCCAGCACTCTGGGAGGCCGAGGCGGGTGGATCACTTGAGGTCAGGAGTTCCAGACCAGCCTGGCCAGCATGGTGAAACTCCATCTCTACTAAAAATACAAAAAAAATTAGCCGGGCATGTTGATGCATGCCTGTAGTCCCAGCTACCTGGGAGGCTGAGGCAGGAGAATGGCTTGAACCCAGGAGGCGGACGTTGCAGAATGCAGTGGCTTTGCATTCTGGCCTAAGCAACAAAGCAAGACTCCATCTCAAAAAAAAAAAGTATATATAGAGAGATAGACAGATAGATCTATATAAACCCAGATGGGATTAAGATAAAAGGGTTTGCAAGGCCCAGGGAGCTGCCACTTTGTATGTCCATGCCAGAGCGCCTGCAGACCCCATCCCCGTTCAGCCACCCTCCTGACGTGCTCTGCGAACACCAGGGAGCATTACCCAGATGTGAGAGCATCGCACAGCGCTCTTGACCTTCTCCACCATAGCAGTCACGAGCGTCTGGTATTCCATTTCTGCCATGGAGGTCTCCTTTCTTCTCACTGGCAGAACAGAGGGGAGGGGCAGTCAGCATGCAGAGCTGGCTCATGGGCTCTGTATAAGGCCACTGGACACCTCTGTACCTACCCAGCTGATGGGGAGGCCACCCAAGGCACAGGTGTCCTTCAGAGGTGCCTACCCCCAGACCTGCTCCCTCCTCAGCCTGGCCCTATAGGGATGTCCCGGCAGCCCCAGAGCAGGGGCAGATGGGGAGCCATGTGGCATGATGGGCTCAGCAGTGCTTCTCAGAGGTAGCTTAGGTGCCGGGGTGCCCATCCTCTGCAGTCACTGGGGACTGGGCCCTTGGGTATGGAGCCCTTGGGTGCTGGGGCCAGGATCTCTGAGGCCACATTTGGCTGCAGGCTGTCAGCCTCTGCAGGGAGAGGCAGGGACTCATCCTTCCTTTCCCCTGGTGACCGCATGCCACACCTGGCCCCGGGGTGACCTGACCCGCTGGCCTGAGCCAGTGCCAGCCTCTCCTTGAGACCTTGACTGTGGGAGGTGCAGATGGGGAGCTGAGCCCTTACATTTCAGGGTCTCCACGCTCATCAGATTCGAGGGGAAGTCCAAGTCCATCTGGCCCTGATGGGAGGTGGGGGGGTGAGGAGGGGGATGAGACATCCTTTGCAAGGAGTGGGCCCGAGTGGTGGCCCCGAGCCTGCATCCACTTAGCTGTCGTGGGGGCCCTCGGCCCTGAGCCCGTCCACCCAGCTGTCGTGGGGGCCTGCGGCCCTGAGCTTGCGTCCACCCCGCTACTGTGGGGCCCTGGCTCTGAGCCTGTCCACGCCGCTGCTGTGGCCCGGGCCTGGGGCTCACCCGCCGGTACTTCTCACTGGTCTCTTTCGTATGGATCTTGTCGATCAGCTTCCTCTGCTGGTTGAGCCGGTTCTCCCTGGCCCTGCGCTCCTCGATGAAGGACGCCTCCTTTTGCCTCATGTTCCTCTGAGGACATGGGGTGGGCAGGGGTCAGTGACTGTCTCAATAAGGGCCCTCATGGCACTGAAGCCAGCAGCCATTGGCCATCCTCACCTCACTAGACTTGGAAGATGCCTCCCCACCACCAGCCACACCCTCTTCCTAAACCACCCATGCCCCTGCCCATGGCTGCCTCTGCTCAGGGCCCTGCTCGGATGTAGGGCTGATGGCCCCACAGGGTTGTGGGGTGAGCCTTATGCTGTGCTGAGGCGCAGGATCCGAGAAATAGAGACGGGACACAGAAGTACAAGAAAAACGGAGCTTGGCTTAGGGGGCCACGACACCTGTAAGCGGAGTCAGTCGAGGCCCCAAATGTCCAGAAGCATGAGTATTTATTGTGTATAGATTAGGGGGCAGGGCAGTGAGTGAAGTCATCTTTAAGGATAGTGATAGGGTCATGAGCAATAAAACATGGGGTCCAGCCCCATTAGGTCACCTAGGCCAGGAGGTGCACAGTGCACAGCAAAGGGCCCATTCCCACGAAGGCAAGGGCCATGCGCAGTAAGGGGTCCACCCCCATTAGGTCACCGAGGTATGAAGGTGGGCCGTGCGCAGTGTGCAATACTTCTATCTGTGGTCAAACTACTTCTAAGAAGATTTATAGGAGGATGCTTTAAATCACATAGCAGTGACAGAGCTGTCAGAGTTACCGCCACCTTCTGTCAGCTTCCAGTGGTTTCTATGGGAAGATGCTTTTTGAGCAGCACAGTAGCAAGAGCTGATAAAGTTCACGGTCACCAAGGTGGATTGCCGGTCTGAGGGCAGCCTTCCACAAGAACTGGAGCAAGGTCCTACAACTCCTTTATCAGGAGGAGTGGCTCTCGCCCCAAGCCTGCCATACAGAGCAATAAAACATGGGGTCAAGCCCCATTAGGTCACCTAGGGTAGGAGGGTATCTTTATGATACTGAACGCTGCCGCCTGGGCCATGGATTCTTGTCCTGGCATAACTGTTTTTCTCTTAAATCATGCTCTGCACTGTGTCTACTCTAGGCATTCCTCCAATGATAAGCTTCTTATTCCTTAATTCATGCTCTGCACTGTGTCCACTCTAGGCATTCCTCCGATATGAATTAGGATATAATTATAGGTATATATGTAGGGAAATGTTCTTTAGGCACTCATACTATTAACTATTATATGATTATATGTAGAGGATTATATAAAGGGATTCGTCAAGCCCTAATTCTATAAACTAACATATGATTATGTAAAGGATTATATAAAAGGAAACAGCTGAGTGGTAACACTATACAGTGAGATATTCCTCAAGCCCTAACTGTGCCAGGGTTCTGCTTAGCTCTCATTCCTTGGTGCCTATATGGGGGTTACCCACACTTGCCCATGCCTCTCGGAGCACATGCCAGCCCAGATGCTCCACTGCTCTCCAGCCCCTGGCCCGCAGCTGCCTCCTGGCCAGGTCCATGGAAAACTCACAAAATCAGATTGAGCCTGCCTGATAGAGTCATCCTCCTCCCCAAAACCTGGCCTCTTTCAGCATGCCCTTGGGTAGCTAAAACCATCCTCTGCCCACCCCTGCTCATCAACCCAGAGCCTACCCTCACTCTTGCCACTCCTGCTGCCAGAGCTTAGTGGGGCTGCCTCTTGAGAACGTCTCGGCTCTGTCACTCCTGGCCACCCCTTCACCCCGACCTGCCCAGGTGATCAGTGCCTCTGCCCTGGCACCTTCTCCGCAGTCTGAGTGCACCCTCTCTGAAGCATAGACCTGGTCACATCTTCCCTCCACCTCCTCCCAGGGCTCCAGGTCAGTGCGTAGTCCCCGGCCCAGCAGCCTCCACTGCCGTGGCCACATGCTGCTCTGCGCACCACGCCCCTCCTGGCCCAGGCCTTCACCTCCTCCTCCCCAGCCCTGGCACCTCCACCTTTGCAGGTCCACTCCCTGAGCCCAGCTCAAGCAATGCCTCCCTGGAAAGCCATCCGCCGCCCACCTCTCTCTGCCAGGCTGGCCCTGGGGCTGTGTGGCATTTCTTCATGGACTGTTGGATGAGTGCCACCCACTTCAGGAGGGCCGGGCCTGCTTGTCCTGGTCCCTGCTGTATCCCCAGAGCCTGGCAGGGCCTTGGGGGATACAGACTAGGTGGGCGGGGACCCCTGCTCTGCCCTGGCCGATTCTCTGCCTCCTCTACTTTATGGCTCCTTGGCCTGACGGGACCTGCTCTGTCCAGCGAATGAGCAGAGCAGGCTGGCAGGGCTGGCCACTGGATCCTGCCAGGGATTATAGGCATTGGGGTGTGGGGGTCTCCTGAGGGACGCTGGCCAGGAAGAGCTGAGAGAGCCAGCCCTGGAGGGCCCCCAGCCCTGGGCCCTTAGCTCACCTTGACCTCATCTGTGATCATCATGGCATCTTGGGACATGATCTTCATATCCGACAGCTCCGAGCAGTAGGTGACCACGAGGTTCTGCAGCTTGTCCAGCTCGGTGGGGTATCCAGCCAGCACCTGTGTTGAGTGGGGTTCTCTTGTGGCCCCTACAGAGTGGGCTGCAGCTGCCCGCAGCCGTCACCCCCAGACTCAGACCCCTGAGGACTGCTCTGTGGCCCCAGCCCCCTCCCCGCCAGGCATAAAACGGATGAAAGGAAATGTTTCATGGGGAGTGGACCGTGCTGGCCTGGTGGACTCCCACCACCCGGGGCCCAGCAACCCAGAGACACTGAAAGAGGCTGTGCCTAAATGATCTTCTGTGGAGAAAGCCGATTCTGAAACCCAGGAGGTTTGGGAGCAGCTTTGCTCTGAAGTGAAGCAGAGGGATCAGGACATGGGCTTGGGGTCAGAGAGTCAGGATTCAAGGCCAAGGCCGCTTCTGACAAGCTAGCTTAGCTGTGTGACATTAACGTTAATTTAACCTCTCTGAGTATCCCCATCTGTAAGAGGGTGATAACGGCTCTTCAGAAGGTTGCCGTCAGGATGAATTGAGAGTATAAATGGAAGTATACAGCCCAGGATAGCTTTGCTATTAGTATTTTGTTTTTAATACCTGTAAGTGTAGAATCTTTTTTTTTTTTTTTTTTTTTGCAACGGAGTTTCACTCTTGCCCAGGCTGGAGTGCAGTGGCACAATCTCAGCTCACTGCTGCAACCTCTGTCTCCTGGTTAAAGCAATTCTCATGCCTCAACCTCCTGAGTAGCTGGGATTACAGGCACATGCCACCATGCCTGGCTAATTTTCATATTTTTAGTAGAGATGAGATTTTATCACATTGGCCACGCTGGGGTCAAACTGCTGACCTCAGGTGATCCATCCACCTCGACCTCCCAAAGTGCTGGGATTATAAGCGTGAGCCACCACACTGGGCCTAGAATTATTTTTTAAAAATATGGATGACTGTGGGAATTACTGTGTTTGTTTTTTTTGTGAGACTGATTGTTACTCTATCACCCAGGATGGAGTGGAATGGCAAGATCTTGGCTTGCTGCAACCTCTGCTTCCTGGGTTCAAGGGATTCTCATGGCTCAGCCTCCTGAGTAGCTGGGATTGCAGGCACACACCACCATGCCCGGCTAATTTTTGTATTTTTAGTAGAGATGGGGTTTCACCATGTTGGTCAGGCTGGTCTCAACCTCCCAACCTCAGGTGATCCACCCACCTTGGCCTCCTAAAGTGCTGGGGTTACAGGCATGAGCCTCCATGCCCGGGCCGGGAATTATTGTTTTTTAAGTGTGTATGTTCTAAACAGAAGAAGGTGCTACTAGGGTACAGAAAGCACCAGCAGGAGGGGCGTGGACAGGGGTGTGGGCCCAGGAAGGAAAGAAGGGCAGGGCTTCCAGGTGAGCCAACAGGACCAGGGGCCAAGGCAAGAGGGACACGAAGAAGGACGGAGCTAGGAGCCACCTGGGCTGAGACAGCAGCAGAAAACTGCTGCAGTGCCACCCCCACTCACCACCGTCCTCCTAGACTGCACTTCCATGCGGTCACCTTCCTGAAGCATGGCTCTCCAGAGCACCCCTTCGCCCAGTCTTAGGGTGAGGTGTCTGGGAGCTTCCCCTGCCCCCTTTCCCAGCTGGCTCTGTGCTCCATCCACACACGGGCTCTCACACACATGCTCTCATGCTCTCACATACATATTCACACGTGCTCTCAAACATGCTCTCACATGCTCAAGCACGCTTACATGCACACTCACGTGCTGACATACATGCTGTCATGGGTTCACATATGCACACTCACGCACGTTCTCACAAACATGCTCACGTGCTCTCTCACGCTCATACGCTCACAGACGTGCTCACGTTCTCACACTCACTCTTAGCGCACCTAAAGCACTCTCCCTCCACACCTATAGTCCACCTGGAGCAGCTTTTGCTTTGTGAGCGGCTGAGGGGGCAGTGCTTAGCCTCCGTGAAGGGGGCCCTGCCTCACAGTTGAACCGCTGTTTGCCTCTGGCCTCGTCTGCAGGAAGCAGGGTGGGTGGGCTGGCTGGGACGGCAACAAGCTCTGCTTACAGGCGCGGGCAACCCTCAACAGTGCAAGGACTTTCTGAGGCGGCAGGACCCGTCTGTCAGAGGCCCAGGCAAGCAGAAGGTGATGGGCAAAATAGGAACGATACTAAATCATTTACTACGTGCAACAAAGTCCAAAGAATTCTGATACACCCCCGCGATGTGCTTCTTTGAAATAGCCAAAAATGAAGCTTTTGGGTTTTTTTGAGCTGGAGTCTCGCACTGTCACCCAGGCTGGAGTGCAATGGCACGATCTCCGCTCACTGCAACTTCCGCCTCCCAGGTTCAAGCAATTCTCTGCCTCAGCCTCCCAAGCAGCTGGGACTAAAGGCGCCACCACGCCCGGCTAACTTTTGTATTTTTAGTAGAGACAAGGTTACACCATCTGGGCCAGGTGGACGCCTGACCTCGTAATCCACCTGCTTCGGCCTCCCAAAGTGCTGGGATTACAAGCGTGAGCCACCGCGCCCAGCCCAGAAATGAAGTTTTAAAAAACATCTTCCACATGCTTCGACGTCCTATATAGCCGGTGCTCAAGCAGAGCTCAGGACGCTTCCGCCCCTCCCAGACCCCAGCCCCGGACCCGCCCCTCCCGGGCCGCTGAGCTCACTTTCTTCAGATAATCCAGCAGGTCCAAGTACAGCAGGTGGATGTTCTGGCTGGTGGTGATCTTGATCATTGTCTTCTCGATGTTGTTCTCCAGCTGGCGGATGATCTGGGGCGGACCGCGGGCGCGGTGAGAGCGCTTGGGGACCAGCCGCCCAGAGGGCGTCCGGCCTGGGCTTTCTTCGGAGGGGGTTGTGCTCTCCCAGCTCGCCCCCTCCCGCGAGCCCTGCCCCGGTGGCCCCGCCCCGTCTTCCCAGCCCCGCCTTCCCACCTGCAGCAGCCGCAGCTCCTCCTTGCTGGCGTCGGGCTGGCTCCGCAGGCTGGCCAGCTCCAGATGCATGCTCTCCAGCTTCTCCTCGCGCCGCCGCACCAGGTGGATCAGCAGATTGTGCGCGTTCACGCGGTCGAAGACGTACTTGCGCAGCTTCTCCTGCGCCACCTGGGTCGGGAAGGGCACCGCCCGCGCGTGGGTGCGCAGGGGGCAGAGATGGAGCCCGCCAGCAGGAGGCGGGTGGAGGCTCGTGGCAACCCCACAGGGACCCTGGGGCTGGGCACCTGCTCCATCCCTCGTCCGCTCCGCAACATCTAGTGGGGGGCGTGCGCTGGCAGGGGTGGGGAGGGTTGGGTCTCGAGGCCCCACGTGCCTGATTACCTCCATGGTGCTGCGGCAGTGCGCCAGCCGCAAGGGCACGTTTTTCCCGCAGGCCTTGGAGATGGTCCACTGGTCATACTGCAGAGCAGTGGCGGCTGAGCTGTGGCGGGCCCTTTGCGCACCCCCCCAGTCGGCGGCCCCTGCAGGCATTCCCCCCAGGGCCTCTTGTATGCCGTGCGAGCCCAGCAGGAGACCCCCTGCTCCCATGAGGAGCAGAACGCCGCGGGACCCCATCCTGGCCACCCAAGCTCGGATGTGACGGGGTTGGGGGAAGGTGGGCATGCAGAGGAGGGCCCAGGTTTCCCCTAGCTGGCTGGAGAGCCAGAGGGGCCCTGATGCAGGATGTGGGCTTACAGATGCCAAGCTCTCTGGGGTGACTGGAGCCCTGGGCACAGGTTCTAGCATAGCTCCTCCTCTCATGTCCCCTGGCTCCAGGAAAGTCAGGGTGGGGGTGGAGAGGAGGGCCCACCCTCCACCTGTGTGTCCTCTGCTCCTGCCCTGCTCCCCAGGCAGTGGGGAGGAGCCGGGTTTGTGCACCTTCTTGGCCAAAGCCCAGTCCTGGGCCCCGCGGCGGATCTTGCTGTGCAGGAGTGCCAGCGTGGCTTTGTTCTGGTTCATACTCTCTTTCACCCCCTGGATCTGGAGGGCCCGACACTGCTCTGTGGGCAGGTGGAGGGGTCAGAGTGGCCAGGATTGGGCCAAGGGCCTGACCTGGAATCCTCTGGGAGAGGCTTGAATTAGGGAGGCCCTGGGTCTGCGGGGATGCCACCTCCACGGCCAAGATCCTTCCTCCCACCCTGTCCTGGGGGACACCACTCCACTGCCCAGCAGCGGCTGTCTGAAGGGCTCTCAGTGGACAGGTACAGGGCTCACGCCTGTAATCCCAGCACTTTGGGAGGCCAAGATGGGCGGATCACCTGAGGTCAGGAGTTTGAGACCAGCCTGGTCAACAGCTTGAAACCTTGTCTTTACTAAAAATACAAAACTAGCCGGGCATGGTGGCACATGCCTGTAGTCCCAGCTACTTGGGAGGCTGAGACAGGAGAATCATTTGAACCCGGGAGGTGGAGGTTGCAGTGAGCTGAGATTACACCACTACACTCCACCTGGGTGACAGAGCAAGACTCCATCTAAAAATAATAAAAATACAAAAATTAGCTGGGTGTGGTGGCACACGCCTGATGTCCCAGCTAATCAGGAGGCTCAGGCAGGAGAATCACTTGAACCTGGGAGGTGAAGGTTGCAGTGAGCCGAGATTGTGCTACTGCACTCCAACCTGTATGACAGAGACTCCATCTCAAAACAAAACAAACCCCTAAAAGTTGTGCACCCTCAAACCCCGAGCCCCAGGCGGGCACGGCAGGCTGGTTGCAGCAATGCAGGCTCACCCTGGAGCCGAGTGATAGTCTTCAGCTCCTGGGTCTGCTCCTCCACTTCTGTCTCGCTGTGCCTCCTCATGGCTGCCCCCAGTGACCCTGTGTACCTCAAAGCCTCCCTGGGCTCTGGCTTGCTTAGAGCTGCCACTCAGACTGTCCCCAGAACCTCAGTGCATTATGAGGAGAGCCAGGGTTCTCACTGCCTGGGCAACCCTGGAATTGCAGGGCCTCCCTGCTGCACTCTGCCCCCAGCCACCTTGGGGCAGCCTCCGGAAAATCATTTGATTCACTTTGGGGCAGCTTCTGGACCTGTGTCCTAACTGAAACGAGTCTCTTGGCAGCTGCCCGAGATTTAGGAGCTCTGCTGGGCACATGTGCTGCTTTCTTTGAGGGGGAGGTTTGTGATGGGTCAGCAGCACCAGCACCCCGCACCTGCACCAGGTTCCCTCCCTGGTCCCTCCCATGCCCCAATCTGTCCTCCACGAAGCAGCTGGGTGAGCCTCCTAAAGTTATTCTGTTCCTGCCTTACGGGACCTCCGTCTGCACTCCCACCTCCAGCCCCAAGTCCAGACTCCATGCCCTGGGTGACCCGGCTCTTGGGACACCCCAGCCTTATCTCTTCTGACTTCTGTCCTTGACCTTGGCCGTGCTGCCTGGAAGCCACGATGCTTTACCCCACTTTCCTTTGGGAATTACTGTGTCAGAAGGGATTAGTTCCCATCTCTGCACCCGCTCCGCCCTTCCCTTAGAGGGAAGTGCCTGGAGCACCAAGCAGCCTGGAACTCGATAGGGTATGCACGAGCTGATGGGGTACCTTTTCCCAGCCTTGCCTTAGTAGGCTCAGGTGGTCATAACAAGGTGCAGTAGCTGGGCACAGTGACTCACACCTGTAACCCCTGCACGTTGGGAGACTGAGGCGGGTGGATCACCAGAGGTCAGGAGTTCGAGACCAGTCTGGTCAACATGGAGAAATCCTGTTTCTACCAAAAATAGAAAAAGTAGTCCGGTGTGATGGTGTGTGCCTGTAGTCCCAGCTACTTGGGAAGCCGAGGGAGAATTCCTTGAACCCAGGAGGTAGAGGTTGCAGGGAGCTGGGTGGGCACCGAGGAAGGAGAGCTAAGCAGACCCCTGGAACAATTAATGCCTGAATATCCTAGTGTATAGTGTTACTACTCAGTTATTTCCTTGTATATAATCCTTTATATATATCATATATTAATCTATAGTCAGAACAATTCATGCCTGAGGAATATCTTACTACTCAGTTATATGTTATAGTCAGAGGAATGTCTAGAGCAGACACGGTGCAGAGCATGAATTAAGGGAAAAACAGCTATACATACATACATAATCATATCTTGTTTATAGTTATCAGAGGAATGTCTAGAGCAGACATGGTGCAGAGCAAGATTTAAGGGAAAAACAGCTATACATACATACATAATCATATCTTGTTTATAGTTATCAGAGGAATGTCTAGAGCAGACATGGTGCAGAGCAAGATTTAAGGGAAAAACAGTTAGACCAGGACAAGAATGTATGGCCTGGCGGTAGTGCCTCTGCCTGAAAGCACATGTGCTACATAGCAGGCCGGCCAGGCGGCAGCGTTCAGTATCATGGCAGGCTTGGAGCAAGTCACTCCTGAAAAGGAGTTGCAGTACCTTGCATTCAGTTCTTGTGGAAGGCTGGCCTCAGGCCAGCAAGCGTGCGGGCATCGCAGGGCTTAAAACCCCACAGGTATAATTGCACGTAGGTGGCTGTATACCCCACCAGCCATGCTGCTGTGTACTGACTCAAAGCATCGTATAGAAATCACTGGAAGCTGCCAGCAGATGGCTGTAGACCCTGCCAGCTCTTTACTGTGCTGACTCAAAGCATCCTCCTATAGAATTCCTTAGAAGTAGCCTGCCCCTGGATAAGAAGTGTTGCACACTGCACCCCCTCCACTGTGCACTTGCCTCGGCGACCTAATGGGGGTGGACCCCTTGCTGCGCACTGCCCACTACCTAGCCTAGGTGACCTAATGGAGGTGGACCCCTTGCTGCGCACTGCCCACTACCTAGCCTAGGTGACCTAATGGAGGTGGACCCCTTGCTGCGCACTGCCCACTACCTAGCCTAGGTGACCTAATGGAGGTGGACCCCTTGTTTACTGCTTACATGACTGTCTTGACCCTATCACTATCCTTAAGATGACCCCACTCACTACCTTGCCCGCTAACCTATACCCAATAAATACAGATGCTCCTGGACGTTCAGGGCCTCGCCTGTCTCCACTTTAGTTGGCCAGGCCCCCTGAGCCCAGCTGCACTGTCCTTCTGTGTCTTTATTTCTTGGATCCTGCACCTAAGCACAGCAATGGGGACACCTCACAACCCTGTAAGGCTTGACCCCACAAGCTGAGATCGTGCCACTGCACGCCAGCCTGGGCGACAGAGTAAGACTCTGTCTCAAAAAAATAAAAACAAGGCGCCATGGACTGTGGGGTATGAACAGCAGCCTGGAGGCTGCGGGCGGAAAGCCGGGTGAGCAGGGCTGGTGTCTCCTGAGGCCCCTCTCCGTGGCTTGCAGACGCCATCTTCTCCCCATGTCCTCACGTGGTCATTCCTCTGTGTGTCTGTGTCCTAATTTCGTCTTCTTATGAGGACACGAGTCCATTGGATTAGGGCCCACCCCAATGACCTCATTTTTACCGTAATGGCCTCTGTAAAGCCCCATCTCCAAATACAGTGACATGCTGAGGTCCTGGGGATCAGGGCCTCATACAGGAATTTTAGGGGACCCAAGCCCGCCTGACTGGCCTTTGCCCGTGCTGTCGCAGCGTCTTCCTCTGCGAGCTCTCACACAGTTCCCTTCCTTTTCTGGTCACTGTTTTTGGAAAGCCAGTCCAGGCAAACTCCAGGATCAGCAAGCCAGGCCTTACCCTCAGGGTGCTCGGATGACCCTAAAGGTGTGGTCTGCTCACCTCCCCTTTTTTTGGGGTGCAAGCTTGGAATCCAGCTGAGGTAGAGACTACCTGCTGTCCTTCCTCAGATATAAAACACCTGAATGTTAGTGGGTGCATGGCTGCCCAGAGCAAGTCTGCCTTCCTGAGCTCCCGGCAGTGGGTGCTCCCGACGACCTTGTTCAGGCCAACAGAGATCAGCAGTGGCCACAAGCTGCCCTTTCTTCCCTCTCAGATGACATAAAGACACAATGGCCGAAGCTGGTGCAGCCACCTGAGGCCATGAGGCATATTTGGGAACGAAGGCCACTGCAGCAGGAACAGACTGAAAAGAGCCGGGTCCCTGACTCCCTGTCAACCCTGGACCACCCATGTGGACTTTTACATGAAAAATGAAGCTCGGTGGGGCGCAGTGACTCAGGCCTGTAATCCGAGCAGTTTGGGAGGCCGAGGTGGGTGAATCACTTGAGGTCAAGAGTTCCAGACCAGCCTGGCTAATATGGTGAAACCCCATCTCTACTAAAAATACAAAAATCAGCGGGGCATGGTGGCGGGCGCCTGTAATCCCAGCTACTCAGGAGGCTGAGGCTGGAGAATCGCTTGAACTGGTGAGATGGAAGTTGCAGTGAGCCGAGATCACGCCCCTGCACTCCAGCCTGAGTGACAGAGCAAGACTCAGTCTCAAAAAAAAAAAAAAACCAACAAAACCCAGAAAAATACAGCTCCATCTTGCTGAAGCCAGTCATGTTGAGCTTCCTGTCACTTTGAAGATGCAGTAGGAACTCAGTACTCAGTTCTTTCTTTCCAGTGACTGGTAAGGTGAGGTAGGGGCTGGAGCAGGGGTAGGGCTATGGGCCTCGGTGCTGCCGGGAACCAGCTGTGACCACGATGGGCTGGCTGAGATTGTGTGGTGTCCACCTCTTCCTTCTCTCAGGGCTGGGGCTGTGGGTAGACTTGCCCACTCAGCAGCTTTCCTTCTCAGGCTAGCTCTGCCTCTGCGGAGTCACTTCGGCTAATAGACAAGTGTGGAATGATAGGCAGGTGGGTGTAGCCCATATGCCCTCCTCTCCCAGCAGCCAAGCTCTGGCCTGCCTCACCCCTTTAGCTTTGACCCCTACATGCCAAGTGCTACAGATGCAGACCCCCATACAGAGAGGCTGTGGTGTTCTCATGTGGCCTACAGGGCTGGTGCAAAAGTCTAATTCTGGGTTTCAGTGTTGGGAACTTCCCTGTACGTCCTCAGTATATAACTTATATGTGAACCTCATATATCAACTGCAGGGTAATAAAGGTGTCATGTGACCTGTCATCATCTTACCCTTCTGATTTGTTTTTCACCTGCCCAGGTGGAAACTCAGGTGGACAGGAAGATAAGCCATTTATTAACCACACACCCTAGCACCAGCTGTCACCTTGTGACTTGTTGGAGGTAAAGGGTCCAGAAAGGGAATTAGAGTGCACAAGCCCTAGGTGGGGGCTCCCAGACACACCCTCTCTGCTGGCAGTGCAGACCATGTATCCCGATAACCTGGAGGAGAACCACCACCCAGGGAGAGCCCCTTCTGCTACAGCCTCCTGGGCGCGTCCCAGGTGGGGGCAGAAGCTGTCTGCAGGGGCTGGTTAGGCCTGGCCATGCATGTGGACAGAGGATATGGTTGGGACACACTAGGGTGTGGGGAGGGGGGCTGGGGGGCATGAAGGCTGTGTTCCAGGACTCTTCCTGCTCCCAACGTCTGTGCCCCAGCTGGAGCCTTCCTAGTTTCGCTGATCTGTAAGAGCCAAAGAGAGACAAGCTCGAACCACATTGTCGTGGGTTGGAGTCCCTGCACCCATTTTATCATGGCAAAAACTGGGTCCCATAAGAAGGACAGCAGGCAGTGGGGGCCAGGCCTGGGTCCAATGCAGAGCCTCCCAGTCCAGCCTCACTCCTTGTGGGTGTCCACGTGGCTGGCTGTGGCCTTCCCATGCACCTCACTCTGCACGATTCCTCTCCATCTCAGGGGTACCCCAGCCCCTCTTGGCTCTTCCTCCAGCAAAGGGAGCTCTTCACGATCTGTCTACTGTGCACACCCCCGGCTCCAGCCCTGGGAGTCACATGCTGAGAAGGCTGGGCCAGAGGGAGAGAGCTTGTCTAGCCTATCATGGTGGTGGGGGGCACCCAGGCTTGGCTGCCTAAAACCCTGGGCACTGGAGCCGTGGCATCCACTTCCCGCTAACCCCCAGGCTCTTCTCACCTGTGCTCCTGTCTTTGGGGAGCTGCCCGGTCTCCAGGAAGAGCCAGAGGTTGTTGCATTTCTCTGTCTCCACTCTTGTCACTCCGTAGCTGGCCAAGGAGCCGGCGACTGTGGAGCAGTGAGTGGAAGAGGGGATTGGGGTCTCTGTGTTTCTCAGGGTGAGACTGAGCTAGTTCCTGGCAGATGTGGTGGGTGGGCTCAGGTGGGGCTCCCACCAAGACTTGGGGCTCCATGTCAGAGTCACAGATGCAGAACCACAGCCCCCAACCCTAGCAGAAGCCCACCCCACAAAGAGCCCAGGCAGGGGCCCCGAAGTACCCACCCACAGCCACTAGTAGGCTCCACTGCAAAGGGTACGGAAACTTCCTCTGAATGAACACCTGGAAGCCGAAGGCCGCGCCGGTGCCTGCAAGGAGCCGAGGTCCCATCAGTCAACTCGTACCCGGGGCTGGCCGGGGGCACACCTTGCCAGGCCCCCAGCACCTGAGGGCAGGTGACTTGCGCCCCCTGCTGGGGAGCCAGGGCGGGGCAGGAGGGTGCGTTCTCTCTGCGCCGCAGGACACCTGGTGCAGCCTACCTGTGATGAAGGCGAAAACGCCCTCCATGAAGGCTTGCGACTGGCACGCGGCATATTCCCGGAGTCCCTAGGGTGGCAGGGCGGGGGTGAAGGCTCGGTTCCCTGCCCTCTTCTTTCACCGCCTCTCCTGTCCCTCCTCTGGGCACACCCTGGCTGTGGAGGAGACCCTGGGCGCTTGGACACGTCCCACCTCCCCTATGCTCACCCGGACGCCGAGCCCCATAGCAAATGGGTGCCCCCAGCCTTCGCCACTCTTCCCTGACGAGGGCCCCCCCCTCCCCAGCGCCCCGCCCCAGTCCCCCGCCTCGCTCAGGCCAGCTTCTGAGGCCTGAGGCCTGCCCGGGTCCCAGGCCGGCCTTCTCACCGGGTGCTTGGCGGCCACGGCGTCATCCACCCGGGACAAGCCCAGGTTCACCATGGTTGGCCAGGCTCGGGGAGCGGGCCTGCGCAGGCGCAGGAGGGGGATGGGGGGCGGGGCAGGGGGGTGGGGCCTAGGGGACGGGCCCTCGCAGTAACAGGCGGAGGGGCGGGGCTAGGAGGCGGGGCCTGCGGGGGTGTAGGCGGAGGGGCCAGGGCCTTGGCTTGGGGGCGGAGCCTGGGTCTAGCCTGCGAGAGCTCAAGGGAGATGGGTGGGGCGTGGCCACGCCTCTAGGAGCCTGATCTCCGCGACCTCAAGGGACGACTGGGCGGGGCGAAGGCGGGGACCGGTCCGGACGTGGCTGAGAGCGCGAGCTCCTCCGTGGGGTCTCCGCCACCAGCCTCATTCCCACAGGGAGAGGCCTAATGGTTGTGTTTTATTTTGCTTAAGGACTAGAATCAGGGATTAAATCTCATAAGCGACCACAGAGTGGGGGGTGTATAAAATTATTATTTAGCAAAGTGGTTCTATGACCAACGAGCAGCTTAGCAGCTGAGCCTCGAACTGCGTTTCTTTTGTTTTTTGGCATGACAGTCTTTACTTTTAAATGACTATCGATACATGAAATGATAGCATGGAACTAGTTCTTGAATTCTATCGTCTAGTAATCTTGATTAAGAGAAACTAAACACCGTGCAGACAATTCCACTAGTATTCGTCTAACCATTAGCAAGAATGGACGATTTTAAGGCTGGCTGCTGCCTCACACGGGTTGCAAATAACTATTTACTGCTTTTTCATAGATAAAGTCCCTGACCTTCAATAAAGTGTTAAGGAAAAAAATTATTTAATCTCTTCCTTTCTTCAAATAATTTTTTTTTTTTAAACTAGATCTAAGAAAAAAATACCGATATACATGCTGCTTGGGTTTGGGGAGACAGTTGCCCAGGTGACATGGCAAGAGACTGAAAACACTATGTCCCAGCATAATAAATGATTACTTAGTTATAGCAATGACACCAAATAGATATTAGATTCAATTATGTAACCAAGCCTATAACATCATTATTCTTTTTTATTTATTACTTTTTAAATTTATTTATTTATTTTAATAATAGAAACTGGGTTTCACTATGTTGGCCAGGATGGTCTCGATCTCTTGACCTAGTGATCCACCTGCCTTGGCCTCCCAAAGTGCTGAGATTACAGGTGTGAGCCACCACACCTGGCCTACATCATTATTCTCTATTAATATTTAGTATTACAGTGTAGGAACATTTCTGTCTTATAGTATAGACATAATTGGGTTAAATATATTAGGAACTGAAGGGACATTGTGAGGAGTGATCAGGAGACAAGAGTGAGAACCTTGTGGAAGCGCCAGCGCCTGGGAAGGCGCCTGTTACTTAGCAGGCAGGACTTGTGGTAACGCCAGCGACTGGGGAGGTGCCAGTTACTTAGCAGGCCATAGGGTAGTTCCCCTTTCACTGAGGGAGTTCACTGAAAACTCTGCTCCATCTGGCTCTTGAGGAAGACCTGACACTAGCCAGGCCAGCCGCAGACATTCAGGGGCTTAAACACCTCCTCTCCGTGGTGCCGGGTTCTGATGGTCATCATCCTCGTCCACTTTCAGGTTCCACTTTCCCACCCGATGCTCCCGTGTAAATTCTTAGAAGCTGTGAGAAGTAAGAATGGAGGAATCCTAAAAGCCCTTGATCTCTCTGATAAGCACACAGAAAGATGCTGACATATGTGCCTCCCCTCCTTACAGCGGCTACCTGAGAGGGAGGGGCCCTCTATACTGTACCCCTGTGACCCCCTGTACTATACCCACGTGACCACCTAAACTGTACCCATGTGCCCCCCCCCCCCGTATTGTAAGAACATTGTTGAGAACTGAACGCAAGCCCGGGAATCTCGTCCAGCGAGAGGGTCCCAAACCTGGAAGAGAGCGTGTGCCGGAAAAAAAGGAGATAGAAAAGAGCGAGGTCTGGAGGGCTACATGCGCTATGCCCATGCAGCAATTTTATTTTTGCAATGTTTCATTATATACTTTTCTGAAGTTAAAGTTGTTTACGCCAGATCAACATACTTAAGTTACAGTAAGCAAGTTACCCCCACTAAGTTACGCCCAGTAAGTAAGTTAAGCCCAGTAAGTAGGTTAAGCCCAGTAAGTAGGTTACGCCCAATAGGTCAATGTAAGTAAGTTACAGTCACGCCCTGTAAACTATGGTAAGTAAGTTACAGTTACTACACCCAGTAAGTTACAGTAAGTTACCAAGTGTAAATACTTAAGTTAATATTTTACAATGAAGGTAACAAGGGTCCAAAATGAACACAATCAAGCAATAAACCGTAAGAAGCCAAAAGTGGACACATTGCCTCCCAAGTCCTCATATCCATAAAGTAATGTCTGTTAATTATTTAGAATAACATAGTCCCTCTCTCGGTTCCTGCTTTCCCTCAGCTCGACTCCCCCAACCGGGGATCTGTGTCTGGGCTCAAGCTCACCATATGGTGAGACCCATTTCCTAGGGGCATCACACGGGAGTGATCCCCACAGGTCTCCCTTAGAACATGATTTGCTTGACCCCTACCAATCACGTCAGATGTGTCACTCTCTGGCCCTGCCCCCTGCCTTGCATACAATAAATATCCAGGCATTCAAGGCCACTGCTGGACTCCGCCCCTTTGTGGCAGTGGTCCCCCAGCGCAGCTGAATTCTCTTATCTCTGTGTCTGTGTCTTTCTTTCCTTCAATCTATCATGTCTGCACACAAAACAGCACTCACCAGTGTTGTGAACTGAACGCGAGCCCAGGAATCTTATCCAGCGAGAGGGTCCCAAACCTGGAAGAGAGCGTGCGCGGAAAGAAAGGAGAAAGAAAAAGAGCGAGCTCTGGAGGACTACATGAGCTATGCCCATGCAGCAATTTTATTTTTGCAATAGGTTCCATTATATACTTTTTCTGTTTAATGTTGTTTACGTCAAATCAAAATACTTAAGTCACAAGGTAAACAAGTTAAGCCCACTAAGTAAGTTACGCCCAGTAAGTAAGTTACACCCAGTAAATACTTAACAAGTGTAAATACTTAAGTCACAAGATAAGTAAGTTATGCCCAGTAAGTAAGTTACGCCCAGTAAATACTTAACAAGTGTAAATACTTAAGTCACAAGGTAAGTAAGTTATGCCCAGTAAGTAAGTTACTCCCAGTAAGTAAGTTATGCCCAGTTAACAATTGTAAATACTGAAGTTAATATTTTACAATGAATGTAGCAAGGATCCAAAATGAACACAATGAAGCAATAAACCATAAGGAATCGAAAGTGGACACAATGCCTCCCAAGTCCTCATATCCATAAAGTAATGTCTGTTAATTATTTTGAATAGCATAGTCCCTCTCTCGGTTCCTGCTTTCCCTCAGCTCAACTCCCCCAACCGGGGATCTGTGTCCGGGCTCAAGCTCACCATATGGCGAGGCCCATTTCCTAGGGGCCTCACACAGGAGCGATCCCCACAGTTCTCCCTCACACCAGACCCTGCCCTTGAGCCAAAAGGCATAGGGAAAAAGACAACATCTACCCATTGAATTCCTCATAAATGTGAGGTAAAAGGATGACATTTTTGGACAGTTTCGAAGTCTGTAGATTTGCTACTCTCCAAAAAGTGGAAGGAGCTGCTATATAACATACGGAAATAATGTATTGCCATTTCATCAGCGTATAACCAGAGCTGCACTGAAGCTTCCTGTTCCACGAGAGCATCTAAAATGCCAGGCCACAGAACAGCTGACTCTCTCTTCTATCCATTTATGCGGCAGTTTTCATGGATTTCTGGCCAGATGTCACAGACAGAAGCCAAGAGGTTATCCATGACGTCATCCCTCTTCTGCCGAAAGCAGGTCTGGAGCTGGTCATGTTCTCCTGGGTCTCCTCCACTGCAGGGCCGCAGCTGCCCTGGGCTCCCAGAGCCGCAGCCTCTCTGGCCTCAAGCTCTTTCTCCCTCTGCAGATGGCACTGTTCAGCTTCCACCGGAGCTGCCCCTTTGGCCTGCCTCAGCCTCCGGTTCTTTCTTGTTTCTGTTTTGTTCTGAGACGGAGTGTCCTCTATCGCCCAGGCACCATCTTGGTTCACTGCCACCCCTGCCTCTGGGTTCAAACAATTCTCCTGCCTCAGCCTCCCAAGTAGCTGGGATTACCGGTTCCCGCCACCACACCTGGCAAATTTTTTGTATTTTTAGTAGAGACAGGGTTTCACCATGTTGGCCATGGTGGCAGCCGTTATGAGACCAAGGCCAGTGGTCTAAAGCACCTCGACGGCCCTGTGGGTCCTCAAGCTGCGCTTTAAACCTTAATTTTTTCTTTTTCTTTTTTAATGTTTATTTTATGTACAAAGAACTATCATGGTTTTTCAAGGTAGATGCCTTGGATAATCCTTTGAAGGAAGAATGATTCAGTCCAACTCAATAAAACTGACATCGTTCGTTCGTGTACTGACGGACACACCGGCGGCCGTATTTACGGGTGGAACAGACTTGACAGGAGTGGGAACCCCAGCTGAATTTTCGAGGGTGGCTCCAGTGCAGCAGCTGGTGACCCGTCTTGCTCTCAGGAGTGCAACGAGGTAAAACTTTAAACTTTTCTTTCTTGTTTACGTTTTCCTCTCCCGGCTCCAGATGTCAAGATATAACCTTGAGAGAAACCACCTGTGTGTTGCGTATCACCTGGAAACGCAGCCTGGGAGCCGCACCGTTTCCTTCCCGTCCTGTGCTCCAGGCCTCTGCACCGTCATCTACCTAAACGTGGGTTCAGCGCGCATCGTGCTCTTATCTGCTCATGTATTTCCTTAGAAGCTTCAGGAGGTGGATGCTGACAGCGACCAGGGACCTCCAGAATTCTCTCTCCAGTGAAAGACTTCTTCAGGGGTGGAACCCACTGCTGACTGGAGAGTGACTAAGAGATCCACTAGGACTAATGTATTAATCTATAACCTGGCAGGATCCATGATGGCACCAGCCCCTTCACTGAATGGGGCAACAGTTCAAGAGGACACCGGGTGTTTGGCATGTGCCTGTGGTCCCAGCTACTCAGGAGGCTGAGGCAGGAGAATCGCTTGAACCCAGGAGGTGGAGGTGCAGTGAGTAGAGATCGCGCCATTGCACTCCAGCCTGGGTGGCAGAGCGAGACTCTGTCTAGGCGGCAGGGGAGAGAGGGGGAGAGAGAGAGAGGGAGAGAGAGAGAGGTGGGGAGAGAGAAAGAGAGAGAGAGAGAGAGAGAGAGGTGGGGAGAGAGAAAGAGAGAATCCTCTCTTCTTTCTAGATCTTTTCCCTGATCCAGGAGAGATTTAACCAAGAGTCTCACACTCAAGAGCTCCCAAGGCAAGAGGCCCACTGGGTGAGTCACACCCCTGGCAGCTACCTGACCCCCTTGCCTTTTCTGAATTCCAAACTCTTTCTTTCTTTTCTTTTATTTTTTGAGATTGAGTCTTGCTCTGTCATCCTACTTGGGAGGCTGAGGCAGGGGAATTTCTTGAACATGGAAGGTGGAGGTTTCAGTGAGCTGAAATGGCACCGTTGCACTCAAGCCTGGGCAACACGAGCAAAACTCCATCTCAAAAATAATAAAATAAAATGAAAATGAAAGCACTCTCTACAGGGTGGCAGTGGGCTGAGCAATCCACTCAAGGTCCCCGTTACAGAAGTTCTGGGGTTTCAATATCCTCCCGAGGTTTCCCACTGGTTACTTGGCATATTGTGGGTAACCCCCCACCGAGGGAAGGAGAACTAAGGCACCGAGGAAGGAGAGCTAAGCAGAACCCTGTGTGTTGCGTATCACCTGGCACAGTTAGGGCTTGAGGAATATCTCACTTTATAGTGTTACTACTCAGCTATTTTCTTTTATATAATCCTTTACATAATCATGTTAGTTTATAGAATTAGGGCTTGAAGGGTCCCTTTATATAATCCTCTCTATATATCATATAATAGTTGATAGTATGAGTGCCTAAAGAACATTTCCCTACATATATACCTATAATTATATCTTAGTTCATAACGGAAGAATGCCTAGAGTGGACACAGTACAGAGCATGAATTAAGGAATAAGCAGCTTATCATCGGAGGAATGCCTAGAGCAGACACAGTGCAGAGCATGATTTAAGGAAAAACAGTTATGCCAGGACAAGAATCCATGGCCCAGGCGGCAGCGTTCAGTATCGTAAAGATACCTGCTGTATGGCAGGCTTGGGGCGAGAGCCACTCCTCCTGATAAAGGAGTTGTAGGACCTTGCTCCAGTTCTTGTGGAAGGCTGCCCTCAGACCGGCAATCCACCTTGGTGACTGTGAACTTTATCAGCTCTTGCTACTGTGCTGCTCAAAAAGCATCTTCCCATAGAAACCATTGGAAGGTGCTAGAAGGTGGCGGTAACCCTGACAGCTCTGTCACTGCTATGTGATTTAAAGCATCCTCCTATAAATCTTCTTAGAAGTAGTTTGCCCATAGATAGAAGTACTGCACACTGCGCACGGCCCACCTTCAAACCTTGGTGACCTAATGGCGGTGGACCTTTACTGCGCACGGCCCTTGCCTTCATGGGAACAGATCCCTTGCTGTGCACTGTCCACCTCCTACCCTAGGTGACCTAATGGGGCTGGACCCCATGTTTTATTGCTCATGACCCTATCACTATCCTTAAAGATGACCTCACTCACTGCCCTGCCCCCTAACCTAAGGGAGACCTGTGGGGATCACTCCTGTGTGAGGCCCCTAGGAAATGGGCCTCGCCATACGGTGAGCTTGAGCCCGGACACAGATCCCCGGTTGGGGGAGTCGAGCTGAGAGAAGGCAAGAACTGAGAGAGGGACTATGTTATTCTAAATAATTAACAGACATTACTTTATGGATATGAGGACTTGGGAGGCAATGTGTCCACTTTTGGCTTCTTACGGTTTATTGCTTGATTGTGTTCATTTTCGACCCTTGTTACCTTCATTGTAAAATATTAAGTATTTACACTTGGTAACTTACTTATCGTAACTTACTGGGTGTAACTGTAACTTACCATAACTTACTGGGCATGACTGTAACTTACTTACCTTGACCTATTGGGCGTAACCTACTTACTGGGCGTAACCTACTTACTGGGCTTAACTTACTTACTGGGCGTAACTTAGTGGGGGTAACTTGCTTACTGTAACTTAAGTATGTTGATCTGGCGTAAACAACTTTAACTTCAGAAAAGTATATAATGAAACATTGCAAAAATAAAATTGCTGCATGGGCATAGCGCATGTAGCCCTCCAGACCTCACTCTTTTCTATCTCCTTTTTTTCCGGCACACGCTCTCTTCCAGGTTTGGGACCCTCTCGCTGGACGAGATTCCCGGGCTCGCGTTCAGTTCACAACAGCTGGCGCCCAACATGGGGCGAGTCAGTTCACAACACTAACCTATACACAATAAATGCTCACGCTTCTGGACATTCGGGATCTCGCCTGACTCTGCTTATAGGTGGCATGGCCCCCAAGCCCAGCTGCGTTTTCCTTGTACTTCTGTGTCCTGTCTCTTTATTTCTCGGATCCTGTCCCTCAGCACAGCATAAGACTCACCCCATGATGCTGTAGGGCCCTCAGCCCTACACGTTTCCCGATGTAAATGGAGAGGATGAAGTCAAGTTACAAAGTCGTTTACTCCGGTTGAGCCCTAAGTAAATAGAGAGGATGAGGCGAAGTTAAAAGCCATTCACATTCCTGTCATTGTTGGAGTGTTTCTATGTGATTTGGTTCTAGGAAGTCTTTGGGTTCCTACCTCCCTGCCTCACTATCACTCCAGAGGCCTGGCAGTGCTGGCCTCCGTGCCAGGACCCCTACCCCTGACTCTGTCCCTGACCACAGGGTTCTGGGTGGTGCGCTCTGAGGCCACCTGCTGCTCCTTATCCAGTGTCCCTGGGTGCTCTGTGAGGACACAGAGAGGTCACTTGGGAGGTTCCAGCCTCTGCCAGCCCACAGAGCCTTCCCGGCGTCACTGCCATCTGCACGCTTACACAACCAGTGATAAGGCGGTGTCCAATGCCTTAATCCTCCCCAGGGCCAGCCCAGCCCCGTCTGGTCCCTGGCCTGCTTGCTGGAATCCCACCTGGGGGCTGCATTGGGGTTGGTGGGTCTGGAGTGAGGGGCACGAGGCCTTTCTCACAGCTATGGGGGCACAAGCTCTGCCCTGGACCCTCTGCCATTGTGACCCTACCCTCATGTTGGGGGTGAGAGAAGGGGGCTTTCTGGGTGGCCAGACCCCAGAAGAGGGGCCTCCAGGAAGTGACCCCTGGAGCTGAGGAACACTGGAGTGATTGTGCCAAACAATGGACAAGGGGGCTGGAATCTCAGAGCCGAAGTACCTTCTGCTCTCATCTGCTCCACCCAGGAGCAGGTGCACCCAGGTTGTGTCCTGGCTATAAATCTGGCCCCCTGGGGCCACAGCACGAGGGGCTGGAGGGCAGGCAAGGGGATGAAGGTGTTCCTGCTCAGCGCAATCCTGGCCCTGCTCTGGGTGCCCACAGCTCAGGCTGAGGTTCTGCTGCAGCCTGACTTCAATGCCACAAAGGTACCAGGGGCCTCTGCGCTGGCCTGCAATGGGTGGGAGCTGGGCCCTTGCCAGAGACAAGGTGATCATTGTGACAGCTGCCTGTCTTGGGGCGCTTGTTCCGTGCCCAGCCAGGCACGAGCTGTAGATCCACTCTGTGCTTAATCCTAAACCAACCTATATAGGGATTATTACTGCGCCCATGTCACAGCTGGGGAACTGAGGCTCACAGCTGCTCTGTGACCTGCCCGAGAGGAGTCCCTGTCCACCCGGACTCAGCTCACACCCGGGAGACGGCCACTACAGGCCCTCTTGCTGTGTGACTTCTGTGTTGTCCCCGGATCACTGGGCAAGGAGGGCCTTGCTGCTGACCGTCCTGGCCTGTGGGTGACTAAGGCCCTGGAAGTTCTCAGGCCTCTGGTATGTGGTCTCCATGGCATCCGACTGCAAAGTCTTCCTGGGCAACAAGAACCACCTGCCCATGTCCACCAGGGCCATCAAGGCCACAGAGGAGGGTGGCCTCCACGTCTGCATGGAGTTCCTGGGGTGGCTGCCTGGGCTGGGCTGGGGGGCTGAGGCAGCTGGGTACCATGAGTGAGCTGGCTATGTACCCCCGGGGCGGATGGCTGTAACCAGGTAGATGCCGACTACCTGAAAGTGGGCTCCGAGGGACACTTCAGAGTCCCGGGTAGGTTCTACCTTATCTGCCTTCAGGGGCGCTGGATGCTGCCTCTCTGGGGGTCACGTGAGGCTGACTTTCCACCCGGGCCCCAGCTGTCCATCACAGTCTCCAGTCCCTGCCTGCCCCCCCCCCCGCCCCTTCTCTGTCATCGAGGAACAGGCTCCTACCCCAGCAGCAGGGGCAGGCGTGGGTGGGGTTGGTGCCCGGGCCCGTCCACTTCTCCAGGCCGATCGGCAGCCTGACTCTCCGCAGCCTTGGGCTACCTGGACGTGCGCGTCGTGGACACAGACTACAGCTCCTTCGCCATCGTCTACATCTACAAGGAGCTGGAGGGAGCCCTCAGCACCATGGTGCAGCTCTTCGGTGAGGGCCAGTCCCCGTCCGCCCGCCCGCCCCTTCCCAGAGGCCCCGCCCCCACGCTTTCTGCCCCCACCTGCTGGCCCCGCTCCTCATCACAGGACCCGCCTCCACCCACTCTGCCCCCACCTACTGGCCCCGCCCCTCCTCACAGGACCCGCCCCCACCCATTCCGCTCACAAAACGGCCCCGCCCCTCACTACAGGCCCCTCCCCTTCTGGAGCTGTCCCTGCCATCTCCTGCTGTGACCTCCTCACACACTCGTGGCCTGGCAAGGACCAGGTGGGGTGGGAGCTGGACCCTCAGTGCTTTGGATGTGGAGGAGGTTGGCTGGGGGGTCCCGCAGTGCCTGCTCCTCTCTGGCTTCCTGAGAGTGGTGTCCCAACCTTCTCTGACAGGCCTCACTGCATGAGTCTTACGGCTGGGGCCGAGGTTCTTCATTTCCTGGGGACTCCCTGGGTGGGGAGGACAGGGTGAGGCTGGAGGCTTCTGGGCTGCAGGGAGAGATGCTGAAGGGGGAGTGGGGCCCAGGAGGACAGCCAGACCACCCCAACCTCCCCGACACCTCCGTGTGAATTGGGAAAGGGGGCCCTAAGATTCCTTCAGCCAGGCAGGCACTTTTGTGCAGTGCACAACCTGCACAACCCAGGGTGGCGGCCTTGTTGTCAGCCCTCGGGGAGGCGGATCGAGGCCAGGAGAGCCCCTGCTGCCTCCCCTTTTGCTGCTGGGTTCATAGTGACCCTGCTCTGCCCAGGCCGGACCCAGGATGTGAGTCTCCAGGCTCTGAAGGCCTTCCAGGACTTCTACCTGATGCTGGGGCTTCCGGATGACATGGTGCTCATGCTGCCCAAGTCAGGTACCCTGGCAAGCCTGCCCCACCCCACGCCCCCAGCCTGCCCTGCCTCCCATGAGCCCACCCTTCCTCCCCACCTCAGCACAGGCAGTGTGTGGGCAGCAGGGGGTCTTGTCTTCTAGGGTGGGCTGGCAGCCCCTGCAACACAGACTCCAGGAGAGGCTTTGGGCAGCGCTGGGGCCAGTGGCCTTGGCACCAGGGGTTGGGGGCTTTGGGAAGCAAGGGCAGTCCTGGCTGTCAGCAACTCACGAATGTCATCCTCCCCACAGACACGTGCATCCCTGAGAGCAAGGAGAAGCCCTGATGCCTCTGGACCCCACCCAGCCCTTCCCAGGTGGGTTCTCCAGGCCCTGCAGGGGCCACCCTGGTTGCCTCTCCCCTCCCCATCACAGCCTGACATCTGCGTCCAAATCTCCCTCCCCATGTTGGTGCTGCCGCAGCGAGCCCCACAGGGCCCTCTTCTTGTGAGCATGCCTGTCCCTGGATGTAGGGCCCACTGTAAATGCAAGGTGACCTTGTCTCCAGAGTCTAAACTCATAGTTTCTGCAAAGACTGTTTCCAAACAAGGCCGCGTTTGGAGATTCCAGGTGGGCCTGAAGTTTTGGAGACACAATTCCATCCACAGCTCTGGGTCCCCGCTGTGTCCACACAGCCTCTGGCTCCCTCCCCAGGGCACCGTCCTGCCTTGGAATTGCGTGGGCCTCTTCTCCTCCCCCAGGGCCCAGGAGAGCAGACCACAGCCTTTGTGCCCAGTGCCATCACAGAAGCCACATTCGGGTGGGGTCTTGGGGAGACCTCCCCCTAAACCAGATGCCAGAAGACCATTGGGTCCCTCACCCAGGCTCACAGCCAAGACTTTGGGCATAACCACACGTCACGAGTCTGAAGTGACAGTTACCAGACTCTGGAGCGCCACTGGCCCTTCCTGGCGTGGTGGGAGGAGGTGTTGGGGGACTCTCGGTGGGGCCGTGGGGCTGGGGGGCTCTGGGGCGGGGCCATGGTACTGGAGGGCTCCGGGGCGGGGCCGTGGTGGGGGGGAGCTCCGGACCTTGCCGCCTCTCCTGCTTTTCCGCCATGCATTTCCTGCCTCTCAGCTCCTCACCATGAGCTTCGCCTCCACTCCCAGGGTCCTCATCCAGGCGACTCACCATCCTGTTCAGCTTTGCACAGGTCTGTATCTCCCTGCACACACCAGTGGGTTGGGAAACATGGGGCTCAACAGCAAATCACCCTCCTCCAGAAGGTTCTCTGGGGAGAACGTGTAGCCGCATCCTCCCACGATCTTGAAGCAGCAGCTTTCTGGGTACAGTGCCCAGCCTGGGCCACCTTGGGTGACCCCGGAGGCTGTGGTGGCTTCATGGCCATTCCAGGGCTTTCTTGCCAAGCCAGCCCCTTCGTCAAGGCCCTGGCAGAGGCTGTGGCTCACTGCCACTCAGGCATGAGGCTGGGTCCCCCACCCCCAGGGAAGGTGGGAAAGCGTTGGAGCCAAGGACAGCCTCTCCCCTGGGGCCTCTGGGGAAGCAATGGTGGCTGGTGTGTGTGTACAGGGTTTATGGGAGTTTTGGAGCAGAATGAGCTCTCCTGAGCCTGTAGGGCGGTGGCTTTGGAGGGCTGATGCGCAGCTTGTGGGGAGCAGAAAGGGCGTTTGTCGTGGGAGTGTGCGATGGAGTAGCTGTGCATTTGCTGTGCAGGAGGAGCCAGAGCCGCGGGCGCCATCGCCCCTGGAGTGAGACCCACAGCCCTCGGGGACCGCTGTCCTCCGCCCCCCATGGGATGCCTCTTTCTATTCAATAAACAGATGCTGCAGCCTCACGGCCTCACCTCTTTGGAGATGCTCTGGGGGAGGGCACAGCAGGCCCCTGCCTGACCCCAGCACTGCTGGGGAGACTGAGGCAGGGAGGCAGGTGTGAAGGGCCCTGGCCAAGGGAGCAGGAGGCAGGGATGAGGGGGCAGGAGGCAGGGGGGAGGAGCCCTGGTTAAGGGGGCAGGGGGCAGGTGTGAAGGGCACTGGTTGAGGGGGCAGGAGCCAGGAGTGAGGGGGTAGCAGGAGGCAGATATGAGGGGCAGGGACGCCAGTGTGAGGGGATCTGGCTGAGGGGGCAGGAGGCAGGGGTGAGAGGCCCTCGGGGGGAGAGGAGGAATGGGTGAGGGGTCCTCGGGAGGGGGCAGGGGGCATGGGTGAGGAGCCCTGGGGAGAGGAAGGAGGCAGGGGTAGGAGGCAGGGGGCAGGGGGAGGGCCTGGGGAGGAGCAGGAGGCAGCAGCCAGGCTTAGCATGTGTGGGGGCTGCACCCACAGGAGAATGGGGCATCCTGGCCCAGTTCCTATGGGTCTGCAGTGCCTGTGGGGAGCTGGGCATCCTGTGAAGACGGTCCGGCTGCTGGGGCTCTGCTGGGCATCTAGGCCCCTGGTGCAGGGGTGGGGGGAGCTGCGGGAGGCTGGGAAATTAGGCCCGTTTAGGTTTTGCCCCCACCACTGATGTGATCTCAGCCACCTGGTTTACACCCCTGGAAATGGGTCACGGTTGTGGCCAGGGCACTGCCAGCCAGCCTGGGTGCTTTGCAGCAGACCCCATGGACACACATAGCCACCCCATGTGCTCCTTGCTTGAAGATGAAGAAACTGGCCGGTCGCGGTGGCTCACGCCTGTAATCCCAGCACTTTGGGAGGCCGAGGCAGGTGGATCACCTGAGATCAGGAGTCCGAGACCAGCCTGGCCAACATGGTGAAAGCTTTTGTATTTTTAGTCTCTACTAAAAATACAAAAATTAGCCAGGTGTGGTAGCAGGCACCTGTAATTCCAGCTACTCAAGAGGCTGAAGCAGGAGAATTGCTCGAACCCGGGAGGTGGAGTTTGCAGTGAGCCAAGGTTGTGCCATTGCACTCCAGCCTGGGCGACAGAGCAAGACTCTGTCTCAAAAAAAAAAAAAAATCAAGAAACCGTGGCACAGAAGGGTTGGGTGACTTATCCAAGGCTGCACAGCCAGCAAGGGCCCGGGCTGGCCCTCCCCACTGTTACCCTGGTCACTGGCGGTGTGCCTGGGGCCTCCAGAGGGAGCTCTGACTGCCCACTATGTCTGGCACACATTTCAAAGGGCCTGGAGTGGGGTGGCACAGGAAGGAACTGGAGGTTCTGGTCTGTTGCCTGTCGGTGCCCGCGGCCCTCGAAGGGCAGGAGCCAGAAAGAATCAGCCTTGAGGAGCTTCTGCCCTCATCCTGCCCTTGGTCACCCAGAGACACCAGGTGCCCCTGCCACCCACCCTTCCTCTCCTGCCAAGTCCACCTCTGGAGCCACCCTGGGGGGTCCTGACTTCTCAGCCTGGGGCTGAGGGCAGCTGGGTCTTCTGTCTCCGCAGTGTTCCCCACCATCCAGGATCCAAGGTGGCCAGGGTCCACCTGCTTAACAGGCTTTGGTGACCAGGACTTCCTGATAGCTAACCAAAGCTTGAGCCATTCCAGATGGGCGTTTCTGGCTCCCAAGGTGGGAAGGCCGCCCCCACCCCAGCACCGGGGCACAGGTCTGGGAGGAGGGCTCTGGGGACCCTCAGACCTCTCCTGGCCCAGTGGGACCTGTGCTTCTGCTGGGAGTTTGGGAGCTGTGGGAGCTGAAGCGCTGGACCCCAGGGTGACAGTGGCCTCGGGCGGCAGCCCCACTGGAGCCTGCCAGGCCCTGGCCCCGGTGGGAGAAGCCTTCCGGCTTCCCGTGGGCTCCTTTTCCCCTGTCCTGGAAGGGAGTGGAAGGAAGCCGGGATGGTGGGGTGGAAGGTACTTTGTTTGTTTGGCTCGTTTTCAGGCAGTGGGATTTGTTTTCGGTTTTAAAAAATATGTGTCGAGGAAATAGGGATCGATCCAAGATGGCCGACCACTAACAGCTCAGGATTGTAGCTCCCAGTGAAAGCCCAGAGAACGAGACGACGCCACACTTTTAGACGAATTTTCGTCACTCACCGATCAGCCGATTCCCAGTGGAGGAGCCCCACGGGTCGCCAGCGTGACTCTTGTGGCCGCCGCAGCGGTTTTGCCGGCGTCTCGGCGCAGCAGCTCTTCCTGCAGAGCCAACGGGACTGCTTCCCCTACTGACCGGGGTTTGGAGCTCCGGGAAGTCAGAGCCGCTTGTTGCGGACTCAAGAAGGAAGCCAGACCAGAGATTCCCGGGCAGAAGAGCACCATCAGTCCTACCGCTGCTATTTAGGCTGCCACAGTGGGTTGCTCGGATCCCAACACTGGGAATCAATAAGTCGGACGTCGACTCAGAAAACTAATTAGAAAGGCGGTTCATCTACAATGAAGGGAAAAAAACAGCCTAAGAAGGCCGAGTATACTCAAAATCAGAACCCATCAGCAACAGAACAAGCCCTGATGGAAAAGAACTCATCAGCAGCAGAACAAGCCCTGATGGAAAAGGACTCATCAGTAACGGAACAAGCCCTGATGGAAAAGGACTGTGTTCCATTATCTGAAGTAGGCTTTAAAAGGTGGATGATAAGAAACTTCTGGGAGTTAAAGGAACTTGTTCTAACCCAATGTAAAGAAACTAAGAACTTGGAAAAAAGGTTAGATGAAATGTTGAAAAGAATAGACAATATAGAGAGGAATACAAATGAACTTATGGAGTTGAAAAATACAACACGAGAACTTAGTGAAACATGTACAAGCTTAAACAGCCGAATGGATCAAGCAGAAGAAAGGGTATCAGAGGTCGAAGATCAACTTAATGAAACAACACAACAAGACAAGAATAGAGAAAAAAGGATAAAAAGGAATGAGCAAAGTCTCCAAGCAATATGGGACTATGTGAAAAGACCTAATATACGCTTGATTGGTGTACCTGAATGTGACGGAGAGAATGAATTCAAGCTGGAAAATACTCTCCAGGACATTATCCAGGAAAATTTTCCTAATTTAGCAAAGCAGGACACTATTCAACCCCAGGCAATACAGAGAACACCACAAAGATATTCCTCAAGAAGACCAACCCCAAGGCACATAATCGTTAGATTCACCAAGATCGAAACGAAGGAGAAAATATTAAGGGCAGCCAGAGAGAAAGATCAAGTTACCCATAAAGGTAAGCCTATTAGGCTTACAGCAGATCTCTCAACGGAAACCCTACAAGCTAGAAGAGAGTGGGGGCCAATATTCAATATACTTAATCAACAGAACTTTCAGCCCAGAATTTCATATCCTGCCAATTTAAGCTTTACATTTGAAGGAAAAATAAAATTTTTTAGGAACAAGCAAGTACTCAGAGATTTTATTACCACCAGGCCTGCTTTACAAGAACTTCTAAAAGAAGCACTATACACAGAAAGGAACAACCAGTATGACCCTTTCTAAAAATACACCAAAAGTAAAGAGCATTAACATAAAGAAGAATTTTTATCAATGAAAGGACAAAATAGCCAGTTAATATCAAACGGCAGCAACCCTAAATTTAAATCGACCAAATCTCCCAATCAAAAGATACAGACAAAATCTAACAGTATATCCAAAGATATACATAGACTCAAAATAAAGGGTTGGAAAAAAAAAAAACGTACCAACCAAATGGAGAGCAAAAATAAATAAATAAGCAGAAGTTGCAATTTTCACATTTGACAAAATAGATTTCAAAGCTACAAGGATACAAGGATAAAAGGATTAATGTAATAATAAGAGATCTTAACACCCAGATACATAAGACCCATAATGAGATTTAGATTCAACGAGACAGAAAATTGATAACGATATCCGGGACTAAGATCCAGAACAAATAAACTCAATAGGGCTCTCCGTTTTAAACACACAAAATATACATTATCCACAAAATCTAACGATATATCTAAAGATATACAAAGACTCAAAACAAGGGGATGGAAAAAAGCTCACCAACCAAATGGAGAGCAAAAATAAATAAATAAAAAGCAGGAGTTGCAATTCTCACACTTAATAAAATAGATTTCAAAGCTACAAGGATGCAAGGGTAAAAGGATTAATACAACAATAAGAGATTTTAACACCCAGATACATAAGACACATAATGAGATTTAGATTCAACGAGACAACAAATTGATAAGATATCCAGGACTTGAACTCAGAACCAGAACAAATAAACACAACAGAGGTCTCCATTTTAAACACATAAAATATGCATTAACCACTTTAAACACTCAAAATGTTGATCGGCCATTATTGAAACCCATTTTAGGAATGAAGTAATATTCCTTTTTCCCTCTTTTTATTTTTTTCCCCTTCTTTTTCTCTTTTTCCCTAAAAAAAAAAAAAAAAAAAAAAAAAAATGTGTCACAAATAAAGATGTTTTGGAAAGTAAAACTTGTCTGCCTTAGAAAAAATCACCCCTGTGTCCAAGAGATGCCGCACAGGATGGGATGGGGCCAGAGAGCCAGGATGGGCCCTCCTGGGGGCTCAGGGGACACCAGAGGGAGGTCATGCAGGGCCTCTGCCTGGCTTCATGTTCTCCTGTTTCGGTCATGACAGATAGGGAAACTGAGGTAAAGCAGCGTGCCCTGCGCCATACTGCAGGAGGGAGGGAGCCAGGGTCGGTGCCCGACTCTCCCACCCCTCCCCAGCTGTGTCTATAATGAGGAAGAGGGGACAGACACCAGGGTCATGGCGATCAGGACCCCCCCCCCGCCCCCCGGCGTCCAGGTAGTGCTGCTAGCTGGGTGGGCAGGCTCCAGGGCCGGGCTCAATGCTGCCCCCAGGCGGTGGACACAGGCTGGTCCAGTACCTCACAAAATATACTGCTGATGGTTGGCGTGGTCTGGGGCATGGAGCGGGGCCAGACACAGAAGAGCGCAGGCCGGGGTTCAAATACCACTGCATGCTCGATGCTGCTGGCCACGGTCAGGACATGGCCCAGCCCGCCCCTCCTCGACCCTGACAGTCTTTGTGATGTTGTTCCCAGCTGGCCAAAACGAGACCCATACACAAGCGTCGTGTGGGGTGGGGGTCACTGAGCCCCAGGTGGCATGGGTGGAGCTCCTCCTCTCAGGCCCCCAGACGGCCCTGGCAGCATCCACAATCGTCCACACGCCAGGAGGGTGGCCGGGCAGGCTGCTGTTTAGGCCAGGCTAACCCCTCTGGTGGGCGTGGGTGTCCCCAGGACCAGATGCGCTTGTGCAGAAACCCATCTCTGAGCAGCCAGCAGCCAGCAGCCAAGCTGTCCCCATGATGGTCCCGGGTGACCGCACAGCCTGCCTCCGTCCACATATAATCACCCCAGGCTGTGGCACACAGGAGCTTGGAGGAGCCTGGAGCTGCCATGGAGGCCAGGCTGTCATGCACCAACCTGGGCGCCCTCATGGTGCTCTGGGCACGGGTGGCAGTGGCTATGGTGGGCCTGGACTGGCAGAAGGTGGCGTCTTCTTCTTAGTTCACGGGGCTCCTCCTATGCCCCCAGCCCTGCAGGCTCAGGGAAGGAGGCCTCTCCTGGTGTGGGGGCTCAGTGGGAATGCTGCTGCCAGCCAGACACTTTCTGTTAGCAGCATTTTCTTCGCCACTGAGTCTGTGCCGGCTGCTGGGCCAGGCGCACATTGGCAGGTCCAGAGAAGGTAGATGCTCAAGAAAAAGATTCTTTCCTCCCGAAAATGATCAGGTTTTGAAAAGTCTCAGCAGAAGTCCTGGCTCTGGGCAGGTGCTAAGGGCAGGAAACCCCTCCCCTGGCATGGTTGGTGGCTGGTGGGCTGTCCCCTGGTGCAGTCAATGACTGGGAGCTGTCCCCTGGCATGATCGGTGGCTGATGAGCTGTCCCCTGGTGTGGTCGGTGACTGGTGAGCTGTCCCCTGGCATGGTTGGTGGCTGGGAGCTGTCCCCTGGCATGGTCGATGACTGGGAGCTGTCCCCTGGCATGGTCGGTGGCTGGGAGCTGTCCCCTGGTGTCATGGATGGCTGGTGAGATCTCCCCTGACGTGGTCGGTGACTGATAAGCTGTCCCCTGGTGTGGTCGGTGGCTGGGAGCTGTCCCCTGGCATGGTCGGTGGCTGATGAGCTGTCCCCTGGTGTGGTCGGTGGCTGGGAGCTGTCCCCTGGCATGGTCGGTGGCTGATGAGCTGTCCCCTGGCGTGGTCGGTGACTAGTGAGCTGTCCCCTGGCGTGGTTGGTGACTGGTGAGCTATCCCCTGGCGTGGTCGGTGGCTGGGAGCTGTCCCCTGGTGTGGTCGGTGGCTGGTGAGCTGTGCCCTGGTGTGGTCGGTGGCTGGTGAGCTGCGCTGCCCTGGTCACCCATTCCCTGGCGTTTCTCACTTCGCTGCACTCTCCAGGGCTTCTCTTCCAGCCTGTGAGCGCCCCTGCCCCTGGGTCCTGCCCCTGCCCCAGGTCAGGTATGGCCTGCGGTTCCTCCCCACATGGCCTGGAAGCCCCAGGGCCTGCACCATGGCTCTCCGTGGCCCAGTGAGGAAGGGCCGCCCTGTGGGGCATTGCTGTCTGATGGCCTGAGGGGATCGCTTGGAAGGACATGCACCTGGGGACAGTGGGCTCACAGATGTCTTGCTGCTTTGCTGCCGAGCCTCACCACCATCTGCTGACCTCTTAGAGCCCACCAGGCCCCTGCTTGGGGGTTCGTGGAATGCCCCTGGGGGTCTCAGTCCAGCTGCTCAGCTCCTAGTGGAGCTCTGCTTCTCTCTAGATTGGAGGATTCTGGTGGGAAGTTGGTGTGGCCTCCGATCAAAGCCTGGCGCATCGGGTGGAGGGCCTGTTCCTCACCTTGAACAGGAGTAACCTGACCATGAAAGTCGCATACAACAGGTAAGAGGCCTGGGGGCTGCAGGAGGGAAAGAGGCGCGTGTGGCCGGGGACTGGGCGCAGCATGGGGTCTGGGCTGAGTGCCGTCCTGCTGGTGGGCCGGCCCTCCCTGTGCCCACCTGTCTGGGCCCTCGACCAGCTCCTGGATCTGCATTTTCTCCCAAATATAAGCATAGTGTTTTAATAAAGCCCCATGAACTTATAAAGAAAGAAAAGGGGCATGGGGCAGGTGTTTGGCTGGAGGGAACAGAGGTCCCAGGGGGAGGCCAGTTCAGCCCCCGCCTGGCACACTCCCTGTCTGGCCCTCTCCCTGCCTTGTCCTGCTCCAGGCCCTGCTGCCCCTGCCCTTCCTAAAGACATGGCCCCACTCCGGGAGGGAGCCCAGGAGGTGAGACACAGGCTGGCATTTTCCCAATGAGCACTTTGCTGCCTTTCAGCTCAGGAAGCTGCGAGATAGACAGGGTCATGGTATAGACACTACAGGAAAATTCACTTTTCCTGGTAAGTGCAGTTGCCCTGTCACAGCAGGTGGAGCCTGGCCATGCACACAGCCAGGCCTTGCCTTATTGTTCTCCATGCTGCTCCCTGCACTGTTCCCTGTGCTGTTCCCTGCACTGTTTCCTGCGCTGTTTTCTGCACTGTTCCCTGCGCTGTTCTCTGTGCAGTTCCCCATGCTATTCCCTGCATTGTTTTCTGCACTGCTCCCCATGCTGTTCCCTGTACATTTCATACCCCAGACCCTCCCATTCTCTCACCCACACACTGGGTCATCCTTCAAGAGCTGCTGTAGTGTCCCCAGGCACTCAAGTGCAGGGGCTGGGTGAGGGCAGGATAGAGTTAGACCCTGCAGACCCTGGCCTTCGAGGTCCATCCCCCTCAGAGATCTCCCCAAATGCCATGGCTGGCTCCTGAAGGCCACAGAGAGATCCAGGTGCTGGACACAGACTACAAGGGCTATGCCATCCTGAGGGTGTCCCTGATGTGGCGGGGCAGGAACTTCCAGGTCCTCAAGTACTTCAGTAAGCTTGGCCCGGGGGGCTCTGCCCAGCTGCCGCCTTCCAGGGACTGCCCACCCAGCCCCCCTGTGCCCCACAGCTCGGAGCCTGGAGGACGAGGAGCGGCTGGGGTTCTGGAGGTTCTGGGAGCTGACCGCAGACACTGGACTCTACCTGGCGGCCTGGCCTGGTGAGCCCAGGGGCCTTGGGGTGAACGCTGGTCTGGCCCTGTGGGTTGGTTCTGCAGCTCCTCATTCTGGCCTGTCCCACAGGGTGGTATGCCAAGCTCCTGAAGGAGGTGAGCCTGCCCCCACCCCGGCCTGCGCTGAAGTCCCCGGGACCCTGGCCCAGTACCCATCCCGTGGCTCCACCTCCTGGCCCTGGGTGGGGCCTCATTCACCTCTTTCTGTGATCAGGACACCCAGCATCACCGTGGGCAGCTCCAGTGATGGGTCTGTCTCCTGGCTTGGAAAGAGCTGGAGCCTCCGGGGTGGTGACCCCAGGCTGCCAGGCAGGGACCCTGGGAGGCTGGGGTCATGGGCTGCAGAGCGGGGTAGGACAAGGGAGGAGAAATTGCGCCTTTTCTTCTGTGTTCTGTGCAGGACTGCTGGCTGCTTCTACCCCTGCAGGTCCCATGGGGGACAGGTTGCGGTCCCATTGAGGGTGGGGTGCGGGTCCCCTCAGGGGCAGGTGCAGGCCATGTGGGTGCCTCCTCAGGGCTCCTGTGTCTGACACCACAAGAACCCATTGTTGCCCTGACCTTGCTTTGTCTTGGTCTTAGAGTTTGGGATTGTTACCCCATTTTGCAGATTGAGAAAGCACTCGGGGAGCTGGGTGCTTTGCCCAAAGCCAGGCAGCTAGGCCGGCAGCCCTGGCCATGTGGCCCTCATCGCTGCCTCGCAGGGCGTCCAGAGACCACACAGGCCTGAGCCCCTGCACGTTTATGTCACAGGAGCTGATTTAGTGGAGTTCCTGCCTCAGGCCAGGAGGCTTGGAGCCCCCGCCCACCTGGCCTCTCCTGGGCACGCTGCCCTCCCGTCACTTGCACCTGCTCTGAATAAACTGTGATGTCAAGCCACTGCTCTGTGTGTCTTTCCAGCGGGCCAACGGGTGTCAGGTGTAGGGGGACTTGCCTGCCCCAGGCCTGGCATCAGGAGGTGTGTTTTCCATGGCTACTGGACAAATAGCACGGCTCCCACACAAGGCAGTGCCCTCCTGGCCTTCCAGGGTCCCAGTCAGGCTGCCCCGGGTGTAGAGCAGAGACAGAAACAGCGATCCTGGTGGGAGGAGCAGAAGCAGGGCCCTCAAACGCATGGAGGCTACACCCCTTCTGCCTGTGTCCTCTCGTAGCTCCCCACTGCCTAAGGCTCAGGCTCATGGCCCCAGGCCCAAGGCCCTACCTGATGGGCCACGCTTCTGGCCTCACTGGACCCCAGCTGCCCGGCCCTGCTCCATGTCTGGTTCCACAGTGGGCTCTCACCCCGTGGCCTGGGCTCTCACCCCGTGACCTGGGTTCTCACCCCCCTGGCCTGGTTCCTCCCCCGCCCCGGTCTGGGTTCTCAACCTGTGGCCTGGGCTCTCATCCCGTGGTCTGGGCTCTCACCCCGTGGTCTGGGTTCTCACCCCCCTGGCCTGGTCCCCCCCACCCCCGGTCTGGGTTCTCAACCTGTGGCCTGGGCTCTCATCCCGTGGTCTGGGCTCTCACCCCGTGGTCTGGGTTCTCACCCCCCTGGCCTGGTCCCCCCGCCCCCGGTCTGGGTTCTCAACCTGTGGCCTGGGCTCTCATCCCGTGGTCTGGGCTCTCACCCCGTGGTCTGGGTTCTCACCCCCCTGGTCTGGGCTCTCACCCTGTGGCCTGGGCTCCTGTCAGCCAACTGCATCGCTGTCTTCCCGCCTGGCCTGGGAAGTGGGAAGGGCAAGGAAGTGGCAGGTGGCAGTCCCGGGGCTCTGCGTCCAGGCCCCTGGGGTAGGCCGGTCCCCCGTATGTGCAGGTGAGACAACCCAGAGCGTATAGGGGGTGGCTGCTTCATGGGGCCATGGAAAGTGATACCTGAGGTTGAGTGGTGCAGGGGCAGGGTGGGGAGACAGCCCGAGGGGAGAGACCTTGCCAGCCTTGAACCCCCAAACCACGCCCTGCAAGACCCAGAGGAGGGACATTTAGAGGCTGAATTCTGGCAAGTTAGAGGCTCCTGGGAAACAGTGTGACTTTGCACAGCCAAGCCTGGCGGAGGCCGAAAGTTCAAGGGACTTAGCCTGTCCTGAGATTTCCTGCTGGAGGGGCTGTCACTGTTGCTGTCGGCTCAGAACACCCTGGATGGGGCCTCAAACAACAGAAATGTTTTCCTCACAGTTCTGGAGGGCAGAAGTCCAAGATTAAGGTGCCAGAGAATACAGTTTCTGGTGAGGATCCTCCTGCCTACTTGCAGAAAAGCAGCCCCGGCTCTGTCCTCACCAGTCAGGGAGGGATCTCCCCGCTTTTCTCTTTTTCTCTTCACAGGGACCCCAGCCCTGTTAAGTGAGGGTCACACCCCTTTGACCTCACTTAACCTCGATTGCTGCCTAAGGGGCTCATCTGAAACAGTGACGGTGGGAGCTGGCGCTTCAACAAGGGAATTTTGGGAGGACAGATTCAGCCTAGGACAAGAGTCAGTGCCGTTCAGAGGGTGACAGCAGATGTGGGGCCGCCATCGTCAATAGTGTCCTGCACAAAAGTCACTGGATGTCCAAAGACACAGAAAAACATGACCTATAGTTAAAAAAGTTACTAAAAGCTGATACTGAGAAGATCCAAAGTTGTATTCAGAAGATAAAGGTCTAGAGCAGTTTTAAGTAGTTATAAGTATAACCATTATAAGTAGTTAAAAGAAAAGCAAGATATACTCTAAGAATTAGTGACAGGATAGCATTAAAGGGCTAATTAATTGATGAAGAGGGCCGGGTGCGGTGGCTCACGCCTGTAATCCCAGCTACTCAAGAGGCTGAGACAGGAGAATTGCCTGAACCCAGGAGGCGGAGGTTGCGGTGAGCCGAGATCGCGCCATTGCACTCCAGCCTGGGTAACAAGAGCGAAACTCTGTCTCAAAAAAAAAAAAAAAAAAAAAAAAAAAAAATGATGAAGAAAGAATTAAGAAGTGAACACAGAAAATCAGATCAGGAAATCAACAGAGACATGGAAAGTATAAAAAAGAAAAATTAGGGAACTGAAAAGTACAATAAGTGAAACATTTACTGGAAGCACTTACAGCAAATTGGCTACAGCAAAAACAATGTCCACGAACTTGAGGACAAATCAGTGTAAATTATCCAATCTGAGGGCAGAGAAGAAAATGCTTCCTGGCACCTCAGAGATCTGTGGGGCAGGATCAGAAGCGTAGACGAGCCTGAGAAAGAGAAGAGGGTGAGGCTAGATGAACAAATAGTGGCCAAAATAAACCCGACTTGATGGAAACATCAACTTAGATGGCCCAGAGGCTCAGAGAAACCCAGAAAGAGACTCACAGTAACCACACCTGGGGACACGATAGTCAATGCACTGCCAGCCGCTGATGTGGATAAAGATGTGAAAGGAGCTGAGCAGCAGCGCGTGCCTGTAGTGCCAGCTACTCAGGAGGCTGAGGTGGGAGGATCGCTTGAGCCCAGGAGTTCTGGGCTGTAGTACGCTGTGCCGATCGGGTGTCCACACTAAGTCTAGCATCAATATGGTGACCTCCTGGGAGCGGGGGACCACCAGGTTGCCTAAGAAGGGGTGAACTGGCCCAGGTCAGAAACAGAGCAGGTCAAAACTCCCGTGCTGATCAATAGTGGGATCGCGCCTGTGAATAGCCACGGCATTCCAGCCTGGGTAATGTAGCAAGACTCCCCTCTCTAAAAAAAAAAAGAAAAGAAAAAAAATTTAAAAGACAGCACAGCCAGACTTGGTGGCTCATGCCTGTAATCCTGTAACCCCAGTACTTTGGGAGGCTGAGGTGGGAGGATCACTTGAGGTCAGGAGTTTGAGACCCGCCTGGGCAACATAGATTTCATCTCTCTTAAAAAAAAAAAAAAAAAAAAAAAGGCAGGGCACAGTGGCTCACGCCTGTAATCCCAGCACTTTGGGAGGCCGAGGCGGGTGGATCAGGAGGTCAAGAGATTGAGACCATCTCGGCCAACATGGTGAAAGCCCGTCTCTACTAAAAATACAAAAAAATTAGCTGGGCGTGGTGGCACATGCCTGTAATCCCAGCTACTCAGGAGGCTGAGGCAGGAGAATTGCCTGAACCCAGGAGGCAGAGGTTGCAGTGAGCCGAGGTTGCGCCATTGCACTCCAGCCTGGCACCCGGTGATGGAGTGAGACTCTGTCTCAAAAAAAAAAAAAAAAAAAAAAAACAGGGCATGATCTGGCTTGGCTCTGTGTCCACACCCAAATCTCATGTGGCATTATTGTAAGGCCTGGTGTTGGAGGTGGGGCTTGAAGGGAGGTGACTGGCTTATGGGGACAGATTTCTCCCTTGCTATTCTTATGATACAAGTGAGTTCTCAGAAGATCTGGTTGTTTAAAAGTGTCCAGCACTTCCCTTTTCATTCTCTCTCCTGCTGGCCACGTCAAAACATACCTGCTTCCCCTGTACCTTCACCTGTGATTGAAAGTTTCCTGAGGCCTCCACAGCCATGCTTCCTGTAGAACCATGAGCCAATTAAACGTCTTTGCTTCATAAATTACCCAGTCTCAGGTAGTTCTTTTTAGCAATGTGAGAAGGACTAATACAGGGCACAAAAGGGGGACACAATGGCTGACTTCTCATGGTGAGAGGGAACCAGGAGATGTTGACAGGGCATCTTTACGCTGCTGAAAAAAATCAACAGAGCTCTATAGCTCGGGAAAATAGCCTTCAAAACTGAGGGTGAAATAAAACACTTTCAGACAAATGGAAGTGGAGGGAATTTATCTCTAGCACAGCTTCAGTACAATAAATGAATGCCAAGGATGTTCCTCGGGCAGAGGGAAATGCGTCTGGATGGCCGCTCCTGTCTGCAGGAAGGAGATCAGTGTGACACGTGGGCACCGCGTGAGCCCATGGAACCTGCGTTCCTTGTCCTCCGTTTAGTTACTTAATTATGTCAGCATGGACTCAGCAGTTAATGTTTCCTTCCATGGGTTACAATCTATGACAATCATTTCTACGCAATGGGAGTGCCTTCAAAGTGGCTTCAGAGAATTGCTGGCACATTCCCTGATTCCTTGAGCACATTTTTGCTATTTGGCACAAAAAAATTCCAAGTTTTTCTTACGTTTTCTGCACACAGGCTTTGAATAATTCACCAAATAGTCCTGGTTTCTTTTTACATAGAATGGTGTTGAGAAACCAGGCTCTGCATGTTAGATGTGCTTGCCTTTACTTTTACGGGGTCCGATTGTGTCTAAACCTTCTCAGCAGACAGAGCCTGGACTTCCCTTCCTCCCCTCCCTCCCTCTTCTTCCTCTCCATTGCCTCCCTTTCTCTCTCCTTCTTCCCTTCTCCTCCCCTTTATCCCTCCCTCTCTCCCCCCTTCCCCTCCTTCCTTTCCTCCTTCCTCCCATTCTCCTTTCCTCCCTCCCTCTCCCCATTCTGTCTACTAAAATCAGAGTTGACATGGATACTTCCAATTCCAATCCAACACCGCAGGGTTCATTTTCATTCTCACTTTGCCACATGCCTATATTATGTATGTATGTATGTATGTATGTATTTGAGATGGGGTTTCACCATATTGGCCAGGCTGGTCTTGAACTCCTGGCTTCAGGTGATCTGCCTGCCTTGACCTCCCAAAGTGCTGGGATGACAGGTGTAAGCCACTGCGCCCAGCCCCACATGTCTATACTCTCTTTTCAACACAGAGAAACCCATCAGCCTTGTTATATTTACTCATTTGGTCCCTTCTAGAGCACATGGAAAGTAGCATGAGAATTGCTCACCCAAACCACTGTGAGCCATGAGCCTGCTGAAGAGAGCTTAGGAGGTGTTTATGGCTACTTCTGCCATTAGCCCAAGAATACAGAGAAAAGCTACTCTGTTCAGAAGGTACCTGGGTAGGCTTTTTTCCCTCTAGTGTGGCTGTCATTTATTGCTAATACAACTGTATCCCATGTTAGGAATTATTTTACTTTTGAGTATAATATACCAAATTACCTTGATTCCAAAGCAATTCTCTGCCTCAGCCTCCTGAGTAGTTGGGATTACAAGCATGTGCCATCATGCCCAGCTAATTTTTGTATTTGTAGTAGAGATGGGGTTTCACCATGTTGGCCAAACTGGTCTTGAACTCCTGACCTTGTGGTCCACCCGCCTCAGCCTTCCAAAATGCTGGGATTACAGGCAGGAGCCACTGCTCCCGGCCTCTTCTGTTTTTAATGGTATAAATGTTTAAGGTATTTTTTCTATGATCCCTGTTTTACATAGTGTTTTTATTATATTTATATTAACGAAATTCTGTAATTTCAGTTTGTATTTTTCTTTTTATCCAAGAGTACTTTTTTTCCTGAGGTTTTTTTTTCTTTTTTTTTTTGAGACAGAGTCTCACTGTGTCGCCAGGAGCCAGGCTGGAGTGCAGTGACAAAATCTCGGCTCACTCTAACCTCTGCCTCCCGGGTTCGAGCAATTCCCCTGCCTCAGCCTCCCAAGTAGCTGGGACTACAGGCACACACCACCACGCTCAGCTAATTTTTGTATTTTTTAGTAGAGATGGGGTTTTATCATGTTGGTCAGGATGGTCTCGATCTCTTGACCTCGTGATCCACCTGCCTCGGCCTCCCAAAGTGCTGGGATTACAGGTGTGAGCCACCGCGCCTGGATTTCTGAGTATTTTTAAAAATATCATGTTTAAAATGTTCCAGGCCAGGCACAGTGGCTCATGCCTGTAATCTCATCATTCTGGAAGAATTGCTTGAACCTGGGAGGTGGAAGCTGCAGTGAGCACACGCCTGTATTCCCAGCTGGGCAGATCATGAGGTCAAGAGATCAAGACCATCCTGGCCAACATGGTGAAAGCCCCATCTCTACTAAACATACAAAAATTAGCCGGGTGTGCTGGTGGGCGCCTGTAGTCCCAGCTCCTAGGGAGGCTGAGGCAGGAGAATTGCTTGAACCTGGGAGGTGGAGGTTGCAGTGAGCCGAGATCGTGCCACTGCACTCCAGCCTGGGTGACAGAGCAAGATTCCATTTCAAAAATAAATAAATAAATAACAGAAGAATGAGGCTGGGCGTGGTGGCTCACACCTGTAATCCCAGCACTTTGGGAGACTGAGGCAGGTGGATCACTTGAGGTCAGGAGTTCAAGACCAGCCTGATGAACATGGAGAAACCCTATCTCTATTAAAAATACAACAATTAGCCAGGTGTGGTAGCACACACCAGTAACCCAGTTACTCGGGAGGCTGTGGCAGGAGAATCACTTGAAGCCAGGATGCTAAGATTGCAGTGAGCTGAGATGGTGCCACTGCACTCCAGCCTGGATGACAGAGTGAGACTTTCTCTCAAAGAAAAAAAAAAAAAAAAAAGCTGGGCACTGTGGCTCACACCTGTATTCCCAGCTGGGCGGATCATGAGGTCAAGAGATCAAGACCATCCTGGCCAACATGGTGAAAGCCCCATCTCTACTAAACATACAACAATTAGCTGGGTGTGGTGGTGGGTGCCTGTAGTCCCAGCTACTAGGGAGGCTGAGGCAGGAGAATGGCTTGAACCTGGGAGGCGGAGTGAGCCGAGGTGGTGCCACTACACTCCAGCGTGGCAACAGAGTGAGACTCTGTCTCAAAAAAAAAAGAAGTACATGAAGGATAAACCTCAGTCTCATGAGACTAGTTCCCTGCCAGAGCGGGGAGTCAGAACAGAGTCAGGGATGAAGTTAGATTTTTGTGAGTAAACGTTTTTGTATCATTTTGACTTTGGAATCAAGGCAGCACATTGTGCCATTGCACTCCAGCCTGTGTGGCAAGAGCAAGACTCCGTCTCGAAAGAACAAACAAGAAAAGACAACAAACAGAGCTGCGTGTCCACCCTTTGAGGTTCTTTCTCACCCTCTTACCATGAAGTTTTTTTTTTTTTGAGACAAGGTCTCTCTCTGTCGCCCAGGCTGGAGTGCAGTGGCGCAGTCTCAGCTCATGACAGCCTCAACCTCCTGGGCTCAGGTGATCCTCCCGTCCCGCCCTCTGAGCTGAGACTATAGTGTGCACCAGCTCGCCCGGCTAATTTTTGTATTTTTTGTAGAGACAGCATCTTACTGTGTTGCCCAGGCTGGTCTTGAGTTTCTGAGCTCAAGACATCTGCCCACCTCAGCCTCCCAAAGTGCTGGGATTCCAGGTGTGAACCCCTGTGCCCCACGACAGCTCCCTCCTGAAGGCTCCAGGACTAAGTGTCCCACTCTCTTGTTCTGTTCTGAGCCCTTGGGCAGTTCCTGCTTGTGATGGCTTTGGCTGGTGCCTTTGGTGGTCCCACTGCCCGGTTCAGCCTTCGCAGGTTCGGCCCCCAGTAGCCTTGTGGGGTACAGGGCAGGCAGCAGGGCAGGCGGCCAGCGCTGCCATGTAAGCTCTGCAAGTGCAGATGGCCCTGGGCACTGGAGCCCTGTGGCACGGACGTGCTCCTTCCCCCTTGCTGATGAATGAGCGCAGGTGTGTGGGAGTGAATCCCAGAGGGTGCCGGCATGGGGGAGGGATCCTCCCTGCTGTCTCCCAGTGGGCTTCAGGGGCTCAGAGAGACCCTGCTGAGCACCTCCATCCTCTGCTCCCCAGTGGAGCTGGAATGACCCCAGGATGGGAAGCGCAGCCTGCAGAGAGCTCTCAAGGGGACTTGGGAGGCACAGCCAGGCCAGGGTCCCAGAGAAGGGAGGCAGGCGGCAGCAGGGCCGGATGGTGGGGTGCAGGGGTGGAAGGATCAGGACAGTCTGGTCTGGCGCCACCAGACAGGAGGACAGGCCACAGAGCGGAATGGTGGGTGGGCCAGGAGGGAATGGGAACCTTTTGAAAAAGGCTTTCAGGGACTGTTTACTTTTAATGATTGGAACAAAAGATAACGTAGGCCGCAGTTCCTAAACCCGCCTGTTCCGGCTTGTTCCGGCCCTGCTTGTCCTGCTCGTTGAACTTGACCTTGGCCTCCCGCCAGGCCTGGCAGTGGACAGCAGGGTCCCCAGGAAGCGAGGAGGTGGTGTAGCTGGGTTTCGAGTGCCCGTTCTGGTGGAAGGAGGCAGGGACCAGCACAGCATGGCGGATCCCCACGCTCCAGGCCCTCTCCTGGCTGTGCAGCCGGCCTGATCTGGGCTCGGAGGCCGCCACTGCACAGCACCCCCTGGGTAACTTTGAGGGAGGCCAGGAGGGTTCCTGGCGGTCAGTGCCACCCACGCGGTGGCATTCAGAGCCATATAAACGGGTCTCTAGAGCCCTGAGGGACTGCACATCCTGGGCCTGGTGGCGTGGTGTGGGCCTGGGAGGATGGGCAGCCTGCTGCTGGCTGTGCTGCTGGCTTTGGTCTCAGTGCCCAGGGCCCAGGCTGTGTGGTTGGGGAGACTCGACCCTAAGCAGGTACAGTCCTCCTGGGGGTGGGGAAAGCTGGTCCTCGGGGACCGGTTCCTTCTTTAAGGCCACACAACTTCTGGGTCCCCCAAGACTGGCCCAGACCAGCATGGGCAGTGGAGGATGGGATGGGCTGGCCCTGGGGCTCCCAAAGGTAGGAGCCTCACGGCAGGAGGGCTGGAGGCTGCAAGGCTGGAGCCTGGAGGGCGGGAGGGTTGGAGGCTGGATGCTGATGCTGGACGGTTGGAGGCTGGAGGGAGGTTGGAGGCTGGTGGCCCTCACCCAAGCGGCCTCAATGCAGCTTCTTGGGCCCTGGTACGTGCTTGCGGTGGCCTCCCGGGAAAAGAGTTTTGCAGTGGAGAAGGACATAAAGAATGTCGTGGGGGTGGTAGTGACCCTCACTCCAGAAAACAACCTTCGAATGCTGTCCTCTCAGCAGGGGTGAGTGGGGCGGGGACTTCTCAGCAGGAGTGAGTGGGGTGGGTCCTCTCATCAGGGGTGAGTGTAGTGGGTACCTCGGGGCCTGTGGCTCAGGCAGAGACTCCGCATGCACTTTGCACATCTGCTCCCGGTCACCTCGGCCTGGGGGCTTCCCATGGCCCCTCTGCACTCCCCTCACTCTTCCCGCTGGCTCTGTGGGGAGCCACCAGTCCCCTGCCCAGCTTCTCGCATCTGTATCCCTGGGGCCTCTGGTGGGACTCCCACCTTCAGCGCTGCGGCCAAGCACCACCTCCTTGATGCGTCCCTGACTGGGGTCATCTGGGCTGCAGACTGATGTCAGAGTGGGGAAACCTGTTCTCTCAGGGACCTTTTTGGGGGATTCCATTTGAAGGAGGGTCATGCATTCGGGCCTGAGAACCACCGGTTCTTTCATAGCATCAATCCCCAAACAATGTGCTCATGGTGGCTGTTGACCAGGCTGGCCTTGTGACCACAGGCATGGCGGGTGGCAGTGTGCAGGGCTGGGGTGGGCCAGGCTGGGCGGCAGCCATGCTGGGCAGGAGTCGGTGCCTGCGTCCCTTCGCAGAAGAGTGGGCTGCTGGCTGGCGGGGTGGGCGTCTACCCATGGCAGGCTGGCTGCATAGCCCAGGCCTGAACCTCTGAGCCAGGCACGGGCCTGGAGGGGAGAGCCTGCCCTCCTCCCAAGGGTGTTCTCCCCTGCACCTATGCCTCCAGGGGATGGGCAGGGGCCCCACTGCACCCCTGGGCCCGGCCTGGCCTCAGATCAAGCTGGGACCCAGGAGCTCCAGGTTGAGGGGGCAGCTCGGACCTGGCTTTCCTAGTTCTTGCTGTTTCTCCTGTGCGGACTTCAGCCCGGGCTTCGTTCATCGGCAAATGCCGCGGCACCTTTGCGGGGGTTTGCTCACTCCGGGGACTGAGCGTGCGGGGGGCATGGCCCCTGCCCCTGAGTCGCAGGTGAACCCCATCTGCCAAGTCTCCCGCTGTGTCCCCAGCAGCATTCAGCACTCCTGGTGGAGGTCTGGGCTGAGGGGCTCTGGGGAGGTGAACGGGCGTGCTCGCCCTCTCAGGATCCTATGACGTTCACTCTCCAAGAGCAGGTTTCTGGGCATCGGGGCGTCTGGCAGACGATGGAAGCTGTGGCCTCACTGCCGGCAGCCTGGCCTGGCCTCGAGCTCGACCTCCTCTCGCGGGGGTGGGGGTCTTGACCCTGCGTGGGTGACGGGCCCCTTCTTTTCCAGGCTGGAGGGGTGCAGCCAGAGTGTCATGGAGCTGTTGAAGCGGAACTCTGGATGGGTGTTTGAGAACCCCTGTGAGTCTGATGGCCATGGCCTCACCCAGGCCTTCCTTCCCTGCAGCGTCCCTAGGCCCTCTGTGGGGAGGGATGGGGCGAGGGGAGGAGGGGGCAGACTCCACTCCCAAGCTCTGGTCTTGGGTTTGGTGCCCATCCTGAGGGTGAAGAGAGGCCCCTGGACAGGGGAGTGGAACTTACTCCCAGGAGGCTCAGACACCCGGGGGCCCAGCCAAGGTCCCTGGAGCCCCCATCAGTGCAGAGGGTGAGGCACCTGTTCAGTGGTGTCCTGGGGACAGGGCTGGGCTGGTGTGACCCTGCTGCTCCTTGTTCACGCCTGCGACAGGCTGGGGCAGTGCTCGTCATTCTGTCCATCAGTCTCCGAAAGTCCCTTTATGCTAGCATCAGGTGGGGTCGGGGGTGGGGGACGAAGCTCGGGTGCTCTGGGTGTCCTTCAAGGGGTCTCCTGGGGTTGGGGCTCTCCCTTGAGTCGGCCCCTCCATGCCTGTGGCCTGCACCCCCTCAGCAGCCCCGGAAGGATGGATCAGCAGCTGCCTCCCCCACTGTGGGGGTTTGTTTCCTAGCGATGGGCGTGCTGGAGTTCCGGGTGCTGGGCACCAACTTCAGAGATTATGCCATCGTCTTCACGCAGCTGGAGTTCGGGGACGAGCCCTTCAACACGGTGCAGCTGTACAGTGAGTGGGGGCCATGAGGGGAGCTGTGTGGTGAGTGCCCCGTGTGGGGGCCACATGGGAAACTAGTGACTGGGCTATGGGGGACCACATGCAGGCTGAGCTCCCCCACCTTGAGGCTGACTGCACTGGAGGTGGCCTTGGAAGGGCCGGGGCCAGCATCCCATGGCAGGTGGTCTCCTCCCAGGCCCCCTCCCCAGCCCCTCCCAGGCCCCTCCCCAGCCCCTCCCAGGCCCCTCCCCAGCCCCGCCCTGGCTCTCAGAGGTTGCTTTCCCCTGCACTGCCCTGGCACCCCCAGGTCGGAGGGAGACGGCTAGCCAGGAGGCCATGGGCCTCTTCACCAAGTGGAGCAGGGGCTTGGGCTTCCCGTCACGGCAGCAGGCCCAGCTGCAGAAGGACTGTGAGTGTCCAGCAGAGGAGCCACAGGGGACGCTTGGGGCAAGATCTTTCGCCCACAGGGTGTGATGGGGTGGCACAGACCCTGGAGCTTCGGCTTAACTCAGCTGCTCTCAGGGAGTCAGGCAGGCTGAGGGGCCTTCATCTGCCCCTGCCCAAAGTCAGGCCTGGGGGCCGGTCCCCAGGGCAGGCCAGTCTTGTGGGTGGGGCCCCGGGGTGCTGGTGGGGCTCAGCCTTTTTCACTGCCAGTCTTGCCTCCCCTTCTAGTCACCTGTGCTCGAAGGATCCTCCGGGTAAGCTGCTGTCCCAAGCCTCACTCTGGGCTCCCTTGGGGGTGGGGCGCAGGAGGACCCTCTGCCTAAGCCCAGGGGTTTGTGGCTCCGCTGCCTCTAAGGTGACTGAAGGTGGGGAGGGTGCCTCCCTGGTGGGCTGGGACCCTCACTCTCACCTTGGTTTTCAGTGAGCGCTGCATGCCCAGAAGGGACAGTGCCCGCAGCGTCCTGTGACCCTGGCCAGGGTCCACCCACCTCCCTCAGCAGCCCCCAGGGCCCAGCTCCAGCTCAGAATAAAGCGATTCCGCAGCAAACCGGGGATGCTCTTGACTGGGGGCCCGACGTGGGACTGGGGTACTGACGTGGACCTGGGGAAAGGATGGCAGGGGGTTGTCACCCAGGGCCAAGCCACAGAACCATAGCCAGCTGCGGAGAAGATGCATGCCCAACCCAGTTACCCAGTCCCTTGCCAGAGCTCCTCTGGGCTTTCCAACACCCAAACTCAGGCCCTGGCTCAGAGGTGGGACTGGTCGGGGACACAGCCTGGGAGGAAGCTAGCAGTGATGTCCAGCAGGACCACGGCTGGGTGCCACGGGCACCCCGGGTGGCCCAGGACAAGAGAGCGGTGGCTGGTGGGGCTCAGAGGGGCCCCTGAACCCCCAGGCTCAGCCTTCTCTGGCCTGGGGTTGTGGCTCTTGCCTGGGCAGGGGCAGGGACCCCAGACACCTGAGGCTGCCGGTGCTCCTGTGTTCTGATGGGTGTGGGGACTGCCTACCATCCTGGGGGAAGCACAGGCCATGGTAGCCCCGGCGCCGGAGGTGGGGCTGGGGACTGAGCAAGGCTCATGCTGGGGTGGAGTGAGGCACGTGCAGGTGCCTGGACCTTCCAGGCTGGGCATGCACATGCGTGCACATGTGAGCACACACCCACACCTGCACACCCATGGGCATGGGCACACAGCCCCAGCCCGGGCTTTGGTAACTCTCAGGCGCTTGTGGTGCCAGGGCCTCAAGCAGGTAGCGGGGTCTGTGTCTGTGGCCGCCGTGGGTGTTCCCCACACCCACATCTGCCCCAGAAGAGCCACACCCAGCACTTTGCCTGTCACCTGGGAGGTCTGGGATGAGGGTTAGGGTTTAATGAGTCTCAGAGGCACACACAGTGACCCCAGGCCAGGCGTTGAGGGCAGGAAGATCTTGGGGCCTCAGAGAGTCCTCTGTCTTCCAGGGCAGCCCAGGTCCGCAGTGCCCACGGGGCGGGTTGTATGGGCTACACCTGAGTGCCTGGGGGCAGTCCCTAGGCAGGGAGAGGGTAGCAGAGCCCAAGGCCACACCTGCTTTCCCCTCCAGCCACTCCTGACCCAGGCTGGCAGCTCCGGGGAGATTTAAACACTGGCCTTGGTGGCTGAGGGAGGAGGTGACGATGAGGCCGGGACTGCTGGTGCTGGCGCTGGTGCTGGTGCTGGTGCTGGTGCTGGTGCCGGCTTTGGGGTGCCAGGTGCAGGAGGAGCACCCCAGAGAGTCCCACACCCTCAACTGGGGCAAGGTGAGCCATGCACTGCTGGCCCCTGAGCTGGGCGCTGAGCCCTGGAGCTGGAATAGGCTCCTGCAGAGTCTCCCGGCAGCCCAGGTGTGGGGCTGCCAGGTGTTCCGGGCACGGGTGCTGCCCACCTGGTCTCTCCATGGCAGCCTCCAGCACAGGGCCCCGATACCTGCTGGGGAAAGTCAGGGAGCCTTGAGGAGGAGTCAGGGTGGAGGGGCCCAGAGAGCTGTGGCCAAGGAGCTGTGAGACGCCCAGAGGGCAGAGGGCAGAGAGCAAGGTGGGTGAGGAGCAAGGAGGGCATCTTCTCTAGCGGGAGGGCCCGGGCACCCTGCTGAGTGAGCTGAGGAGCAGTTCATTGGCACAGCGGTGCCCAGGATGCTGGGGTTGGCAGCAAGCAGAGTTGGGGGCCTGGGTCTGGCGGGAAGGTAAGTGGCTGAGTGGAACCCGACTCCTAGGAGTCCATGTGGAAAGGAGCCAGGGCCTCTGAGGTAGGGGGCCTCCCACCTGCTGGTCCCCACGGCCCAGCCCTGTGCTGCCCGAGGTCTAGCTGGGTACCTGCTTCTCTTCGGCCCTGCTCCAGTGGCCAGGGCTTGGGTAGCTGGGACCGAGGCAGCACCTGGTGGGGCTGGGGCTCAGGCTCACAGAAGGGTCCCTTGTCTCCAGGGTTCTGTAGCTGGGACCCTTGGGGGTGGGGGCAGTTCCTGTCTTCACCCACACACCCGCTGCGCAGTTTTCAGGATTTTGGTACATTCTGGCCACTGCCACTGATGCCCAGGGATTCTTGCCGGCCAGGGACAAGAGGAAGCTGGGGGCGTCCGTGGTGAGGGTGGACAAAGTGGGCCAGCTCCGGGTGCTCTTCGCCTTCAGCCGGTGAGTGGGCAGCACCCCCAGGCAAGGGTCTCCCCTTCCAGGAGGAGGGAGCTTCCTGAGGGCTGGAGAGGAGTCCAGGAGGGGCCTGTCCATTTGGAAGTTACACAGGGACCGTCCCCACTTCTGCCGGCTAAACTCAGAGGAAGCCGCCTGCAGCCCTGGGGCCATCCCACAGCGGTGGGTGTTTGGAATGTCTCCCATGCCGAGGGACAGGCCCTGATCTGAACTGGAAAATCCTCAAATAAGCTGGATAGTGAAGCAAAAAACTAGGGACCTGGCCCCCAACCTCCCCCCAGGCCCCACGGGAGCAAAGCAAGACTGAGAGGTGTTGGAGGGGTCGACGGCCTTGGGCGGGAGGAGGGGGAATCCCTGGTCTGCAGCCTGCAGCCCCCGCCTTATCCCCAGGATGAAGGGGTGCCAGTCCCAGGAGGTGATCCTGAGGAAAGACGGGAAGAAGCCGGTGTTCAGGAACACCTGTGCGTACGCGGGGCTGAGAGGAGGGTGGAAGGGCAGTGTGCTCGGGATCTGGGCCCCAGAGAAGCTGCCTGAGATGCTCTGTCCCCCTGTGCCTTGAGCAGGCCCCTGGCCCCTGAGAGCACACGGCCGGCGGGCATCAGGCTGGCTGTGTTCCCAGAGGCCATACATATGTGTGGGGCGGCCTGGCCTGGGAGGGGAGGCACTGGGAGGGCACTCAGTCCCTTCTGGACACCTGCACCCGGCTGGGGAAGCCAAGGCCTTGGACACCAGGGTCAGGGCTGAGGGTGGGCACAGCCACGCCCTCCAGAAACCAGCGGGCAGCTCCGGGCTTCTCTTTCAGTGAAAGGGGTGAAGGGCTTCCATGTGCTGTCCACTGACTACAGCTACGGCCTGGTCTACCTTCGCCTGGGGCGCGCAGCCCTGAACTTCAAGAACCTGCTGCTCTTCCGTGAGCAGGCACAGCGGATGGCAGAGGATGTGTGGTGGAGGGGGTGCAGAGGGAGGGATGAGGGGCACTGGGCACACAGGCCAGGCAGGACCCAGGAGGTGAGGTGGGCAGGGAGAGGACTGGTTAGGGTGGTGGTCAGGGCAGGGGCAGTGGGCACACAGGCTGGGTACCACCCAGGGGGTGAGGTGGGCAGGGAGAGGGCTTGTTGGGGCAGTGGTCAGGGCAGGGGCAGTGGAGTGGCATGGAGGCCACCAGGATGGTGGCGGGTGCAGGTGCAGTGTTATGGGTGAGGGATGCAATGGGATAAGGAGGCGTGAGAGGGGTCCCAGGTAGGGGTGCCCGGATGGAGGGGTGTGGAAGAAGTGACCCCATGTAGGTTAAAGGGCACGGACCCAATTCCAGGCACCGGCCACTCCGGGTACAGGGAAAGGAGTGGCCTGCTCCGTTGGAGAGGATAGTGGGGAGGTGGGCTCCTGGGGTCTCAGGGGAGGTGGGGCATGTTCAGGGTGCAGCAAGCCCGGGCCCAGCTGAGGGGCTGGCCCGAGGGGATTATGCAAGCAGAGAGGGCTCCCCAGGTGACTTCCCGAGCCTGGCTGCCTTGTGAGTGATGGTGAGGAGGGGTCCAGCAGCCGCCGTCCTTCCCTGGCTGAACCCGTTTCCTGGCTTAAGCGCCAAGGACCTTTCAGCAGCTCCTGGGATGGGGATGGGGGTCAGGCCCGCAAGTGGCTAGAGCTGCAGACGCTGAGGTGATCCTGATCCCCAACTGCAGATAGACAGAATGTTTCCAGCTTCCAGAGTCTGAAGGAATTCATGGATGCGTGTGACATTTTGGAGCTCTCCAAGGCCGCAGTCATCCTTCCGAAAGATGGTAAACTGTGCCTTCGGCCCTTTGCCCTCCTGCCCACACCCCGCCGGTCCCAACGGGGAGCTTGTTAATTGGGGAAAGGAGAGATGAAAGGACCCACGGGAAAAGTACTTTTTTTTTTTTTGAGTGGAGTTTCGCTCTTGTCGCCCAGGCTGTAGTGCAATGGAGCGATCTCAGCTCACAGCAACCTCTACCTCCCAGGTTCAAGCGATTCTCCTGCCTCAGCCTCCCTAGTAGCTGGGATTACAGGCATGTGCCACCACACCCAGCTAATTTTGTATTTTTAGTAGAGACAGGTTTCTCCATGTTGTTCAGGCTGGTCTCAAACTCCCAACCTCAGGTGATCTGCCCGCCTCGGCCTCCCAAAGTGCTGGGATTACAGGCATGAGCCATCACCCAGGGCTTGAAGGGTGCCATTTTAAAGATTTGCCCAAACACACCCCCCTCCCTGCCTCCTGCTGTAACCTCAGAACTGGGGCTTGGCCTGGCAGGCCTTGCACAGACAGTGAGAGGTACCCGGAGCAGATGCTGCATCTGACCTGGCGGTGCCTCGGCTGTGGCTGCAGGATCGGGGGCTGCTTGCCTGTGCTCTCGTGGTGCCCAAGTCGAGCATGCATGGAACCAGGGGGCAGCTGGGGCGCATGTGTCTCCTTGGAGCAGCCAGCCCACCCATGGCCGTTTCCTCTCCCACAGCTTCCTGTGCACACACCATCCTGCCATGAGATCCAGCATCCTCTGCTCTTTCCTTTCGACTTGTGGTCCTCCTAGACCCCGGAAGCATTGTTCCAGACGACAGGAGGAGACTACGCTTCTTGAGAGTTGTTTGGTGACTAGGTCGTTGATGGTGTGAAATTTAAGTGTCTCTAACCCAAGAGGGATCCTTTATGATCACAGAAAGATGGGGGGAGGGTATGCACTGATGCGGGGGATGTCAGCCAGGCCCCTTCCCTGGAGTCCTCTGGAGCACACTGCAGGCCGCTGCTGTTCCTTGACTGCCGTGAAACAGACTACAGGCCAGCCCAGCGCACCCTCGCCGTGTGCCTTCCCTCTACCGTCCACGTCACCACTGCCCTCCATGTTCCTTGACATCTGCACCTTATCAGGAAGCCCTTCCAGTGCCCACCAAACACGGAGAAGTCCCCCTGACGTGCCCGGCGGTGTGCTGGTGCCCATGGCTGCGTTCAGGAGCAAAATCTGCAGAGTTGATGCGTGATCAGGAGGAGTCACCCTCAGCAATGGGATCACCTGGATACTCCAGCAGAGACCCCAGAGGCACATTAGGGGCGGCCGGGCCCAGCAGCTGCAGGCCTGACTCACTTACCCCTGGGCAGCACGGGGAGAGCTTCCGGGAAGCGGCATTTGGGCTGACCCGGGAAGGGTGCTGGGCGTCAATCAGTTTGGGAGGGGCTGGGGGAGCAGGGGCATATCCCTAGAACAGGATCTGACTTCTGAGAAGACATCAGAGTAGAGAAAATGGCTTCTCAAGGAGACTGGGGATGCCAGCGTGAGGATGGTGGGGCAGTGGGGGATGGAGAGCCACCCCAAGGAGCAGGAGGGGGCCCACCGGACCACAGCACCTTGAAGGCCGTGGTGGAGGCCGTGGTGAAGGGCTTGGGTCTCATTCAAGGGGTGATGATGGGAGGTCGCCATGGATTTTGTCTGAGAGATAAACCCCAACTGAATGGACCTTCCGGCCAAGGGGATCCCAGAGAAACCCTGAACCCCAGTCCTCAGCCATGCGGGGTAAGAGTCAGACCCCAGCTTTTGGCTGGAGAAGATATCACAGAATGGTTCTGGGCGGTCCGTGGAGAATTCGCGCAGCTGCACGGTACCTGCTTCTCCTTTCATGAATATTCATGACTCCTCCTGAAGCTTATTGAACATCTACACTTAGCATCTCCTTCAGCATGAATTCCCGTTCCCTCTGCCGCTCCCTCAAAGTGTCTGTTTAGACTTCTGGCCTGAGGCTCTGCTTCTTTGCCTGTCAGAAGGGCTGCCCTACAGGCTGAGACCCCTGTGAGAAATAAAGCTCTCCTGTGTGCAGAAAAGTAGTTTGGAGACTGGGTGCAGCAGCTGACATCTGCAATCCCAGCACTTTGGGAGGCCAGCAAAATTTGGGAGTCCCCGCCTCCCAAACTGATATACACACACACACACACACACACACAGGGCTGGGCGCAGTGGCTCATGCCTATAAATCGCAGCACTTTGGGAGGCCGAAGCAGGTAGATCATTTGAAGTCAGTGGTTCGAGACTAGCCTGACCAACATGGTGAAACTCCATCTCTATTTTTTTTTTTTTTTTTTTTTTTTGGCAGAGTCTCACTCTGTTGCCAGGCTGGAGTGCAGTGACATGATCTCAGCTCACTGCAACCTCTACCTCCCGGGTTCCAGTGATTTTCCTGCCTCAGCCTCCCAAGTAGCTGGGATTACAGGCGTGCGCCACCACGCCCAGCTAATTTATTATTTTTTTGTATTAAAAAGAAAAATAGATATGGGGTTTCCGGCGGGTGTGGTGACTCATGCCTATAATCCCAGCACTTTGGGAGCCAAGGCGGGTGGATCACAAGATCAAGACCATCCTGGCTGACATCGTGAAACCTTGTCTCTACTAAGAATACAAACATTTTTGTATTTTTTAGCCGGGTGTGGTGGCACATGCCTGTAATCCCAGCTTCTTGGGAGGCTGAGGCAGGAGAATCACTGGAGCTCGGGAGGCAGAGGCTGCAATGAGCTGAGATCAAGCCGTTGCCTTCCAGCCTGGGTGATATGAGTGAGACTCTGTCTCAAAACAAAAACAAAAACAAAAAGCAGCAGCACATCCACAACGCAGCGTGTTCTGCGCAGCTTCCTACCCCAACCCCAGCCCGAGGAGCCACTGAGCCCACTGACGGTCTTTCTGCTATTAGATCGACTTTCATTTCCTGGAGTCTCATGTAAATGCAATCACTCTGCATGCACGCTGTGTCAGGGGTTGCGGGAAGCAGAAAGTTCTGAAAGTTTCCTTTCTTGTTAAAGAATAAATCCTTCCTGCTTTTTGCCAATCACTCTTTGTTAAGCCCTATCTTGTGTGGCTGTTAGACACGCTCACAGGCACATAGTACAGTCTGTCCTTGTGCTTTAACCAAGATACCTGTGCCGGATATGCTCACAGGCATGTCCCAGCTAGCAGCCTGTGTCCCTTCCTTATTTGGGCTTCTGTTTGTTCTCCACTGCTTTTACCTGTTTAGAAAAGTTTTAAGTTGTTAGCCAAGTGGGTTTTAGTTTAAATTGTGGGGTCCGGCTCCAACCAACAGAGATCAGACACAGTAGTAAGGACGACCCCAAATGTATAAGGGATAAATATGTCTGCTTTTCCTTTGTTCATTGTACTCTCATGGCAAGATGGCTGGTGAGGCTACCCTTCCTACAGTAAGTAAAAATTGCTTCACTGGGGCCGGGTGTGGTGGCTCACACCTGTAATCCCAACACTTTGGGAGGCCGAGGAGAGTGGATCACGAGGTCAAGAGATCGAGATCATCCTGGTCAACATGGTGAAACCCTATCTCTACTAAAAATAGGAAAACCAGCTGGGTGTGGTGGCAGGTGCCTGTAATCCCAGCTACTCAGGAGGCTGAGGCAGGAGAATCACTTGACTCTGAGAGGTGGAGGCAGTAGTGAGCTGGGATCGCGCCACGGCACTCCAACCTGGGCAACAGAGTGAGTCTCCATCTTAAAAATTAAAAAAAAAAAAAAAAGGAAAGAGGATGAGATGTCACTGCTGATTCCACAGACATTAAAAGGACACTAAAGGGCCAGGCGTGGTAGCTCATGCTTGTAATCCCAGCACTTTGGGAGGCTGAGGCAGGTGGATCACTTGAAGTCAGGAGTTTAAGACCAGCCTGGCCAACATGGGGAAACCCGTCTCTACAAAAAATACAAAAACTTAGCCAGGTGTGGTGGCAGGTGCCTGTACTTCCAGCTGCTCCAGAGGCTGAGGTGGGAGAATTGCTTGAACTTGAGAGGCAGAGGTTGCAGTGAGCTGAGATCACGCCACTACACTCCAGCCTGGGTGACAGAGCGAGACTCCATCTAAAAAAAAAAACTTTAAATGTAGCAGGTGTGGTGTACACACCTGTGGTGGCTGCTCCTTGGGAGGCTGAGGTGGGAGGATGGCTTGAGCCCAGGAGGTCAAGGCTGCAGTGACCTGCACTCAAGCCTGGGTAACAGAGCAGACCCTATCTCAAAAAATTAAAGAGTGGCAGAGACCTGACCACCTCTTCCAGAATCCCAGGCCAAGGCACAATTATGGAGACGGGGACCTGGGGCCCAGTCCCCCTCCAGTGTCTCTGCTCCCTCATGCGGGCCGGATGCAGAGGCAGGATAGGAGCCCAGCAGGAACCCCATCCTGCAGTCCGGCCTGGAGAACCCGAGTGTGGGCCTCCGAACCCACTCACCAGGGTGAGGACAACCGCTCTGCCTTGGGAGCCTCAGGCTCTGTGTCCCACTTCCCTGAGCCCAGGGAAGCTGCTGTTCCTTGTGGGAAGAAAGTTGCCCAGGTGCCATGGCAAGAGACTGAGGCACAATCTGTCCCAGCATAATAAATAACTGATTACTTAGTTATAGCATAATAAATGATTAGTTATAGCAATGACACTAGTTAGATTTAGATACAATCACATAATCAATTATGTACTCAATCTTATTACATCATTACTCTCTATTATTAACCTTTGCTTTAGTGTTACCATGTGGGAACGTTTTTAGTTTTATAAAAATGATTGGATAAAATATATTTGGAACTGAAGGGACATTGTGAGGAGTGATCAGGAGACGAGTGAGAGCCTTGCAATAGTGCCAGTGCCTGGGGAGGTGCCCGTTATTTAGCAGGCAGGCCTTGGGGTAATGCCAGCGCCTGGGGAGGTGCCAGTTACTTAGCAGGCCATGTGGGGGAGTTTCCCTTTCACTTGGGGAGTTCACAGAACACTCTGCTCCATCCGGCTCTCGAGGAAGGCCTGACACTAGACAGGCTGGCCGCGACATCCAGGGGCTTAAACACCTCTCCGTGGTGCTGTTCTGATGGTCACCATCCTCGTCCACTTTCAGGTTCCACTTTCCCACCCGATGCTCCCGTGTAAATTCTTAGAAGCTGTGAGAAGTAAGAATGGAGGAATCCTAAAAGCCTTTGATCTCTCTGATAAGCACACAGAAAGAGGCACGTACGTGCCTCCCCTCCTTGCAGTGGCTACCTGAGAGGGAGGGGCCCTCTGTAATGTACCCCTGTGACCCTGTACCATATCCACATGGCCCCCCATATTGTAAGAACATGATTTGCTTGACCCCTATGAATCACGTCAGATGAGTCACTCTCTGGCCCTGCCCCCCTGCCTTGTATACAATAAATGTCAGTTCGTCCAGGCATTCGGGCCACTGCTGGACTCTGCCCCTTGATGGCAGTGGTCCCCCAGCCCAGCTGAATTCTTCTCTTATCTCTGTGTCTTGTCTTTCTTTCCTGCGATCTATCGTCTCCACACACAAAAGAGCACCCACTAGACCCTGTGGGGCTGGACCCTGCAGTCTCAATCCTGTCGTTGGAGAGGAGGCGAGGAAGAAGGGAAGGAGTTGGGAGAACAGGGAGAGGGGCCACTTGGTGTCCCACGGGCAGGGAGGGAGGGGCAGCAGAGAGGGTCAGACACGTACACACCACACACAGCAGCGCACCCCCCTCCACAGCTCTCCGGTTGGTGGGTCAGAGTTGCTCATGGTTCTGTGGGTGCCAGCCGCCAACCCTGGCAGAGCCTGTGTGGTCTATGATGGCTTTTCACCACATGCAGCCTGTGGGTCAGGCTCATGCAATGGCCCTGGAGAGAGCCTTGGAGACACCACAGCCACAGCTGCTTCTGGACAACACCATTTCCCTGACCCCATTTCAGAGGCAGCAGCCCGGCCAGGGTTCTCTCTGGAGGCAGGTGAAATCAAGAATCCAGGGGAGGCCTGGCATGGAGGCTCATGCCCGTCATCACAGAACTTCGGGAGGGAGGCTGAGGCAGGCAGATCACCTGAGGTCAGGAGGTAGAGACCAGCCTGGCCAATAAGGTGAAACCCTGTCTCTACTAAAAATACAAAAATTAGCCAGGCGTGGTGATGGGCGCCTGTAATCCCAGGTACTCGGGAGGCTGAGGCAGGAGAATCCCTTGAACCTCGGAGGTGGAGGCTACAGTGAGCCAAGATTGTGCCACTGCACTCCAGCCTGGGCGACAGAGCGAGACTGTCTCAAACAAAACAAAAAAAAATCCAGGGGAGCCCACAGGTGTGTCTGCCACAGATGAGCCCCCCGCAGGGAGCCCACAGGCTGCAGCTGAGCGGATGGGGCTGGCCAGTGCTCCTGGATGCCCCCCGCCGCCTCCCAGGCCCTGTGTGGTTCTGTCCTGGAATTACAGTGGTCACTCCGCTGGACCTTTGAGGTCCAGGTTGGGGCAAAAACGTGCAGGGAGTGGCCTGGGGCTCTTGGGAGGCCCCACAATTTGGGTCAGAGTCTGCAAGTTCCAAAGTTTCCAGCATGGGGCTTGGCACCTGTGGGGTCTCATGGGAGGCGTTTAAGACCCAGAGTCACCAGCTTGGGCTGACAGTTTCTCACTCCATGTGACTAGGTTGTCTTTCTCCTTTCTGTTAAGCAAAAGCCCTCACAGTTTCTAAGAGCTGAACTCCAGGTAATGAAAACCAGGTGGACTGTGGGGTCAGGCCGAGTGTGTCTGCAGCTGCAGATTGGGCCTGTACCCTGAACGCCCCTGCTGTGGGAGGTCCTGGGCTGCCCCAGCACTGGAGACTGGGGGCTAGGGCGTCGGAAGCTCATTCTCGTTCCAGAGGCTCAAAGGCCAAACCCGGCTGTCGCCCCATCACACTCCCTCTGGAGGTGTCCGAGGACGTCCTTTCCAGTCCCTTCTGGCTGGGGCAGTGCCGGCAGGCCTGGGTATTGTGGGGCTGGGGCTGCGTCTCTCCCATCCCTGCCTCTGCCCTCCGTGGCCTTGTCTCCTCTGTGGCCAGCCTCCCCTCTTCTCACCCAGGACACCAGTCATTGGATCTAGGGCCTTATTTTGCCTTTTGATTTGTTCTTTTGAAACATGGTCTCACTCTGTCACCCAGGCTGGAGGGTAGGGGCACAATCATGGCTCACTCCAGCCTTGACCTCCTGGGCTGAAGTGACCTCCCACCTCAGCCTCCCGAGTAGCTGGGATGGTGAGCAGCACAACACCCAGCTTATTTTTTGTTTTCATTTTTTGTAGAGCCAGGGTCTTTCGATATTGCCTGGGCTGGTCTTGAACTCCTGGGCTCAAGCGATCCTCCCAGCCTGCATTACAGTGTGTGAGCCACTGCACCCAGACACACCATTTCCACACAAGGTCACAGTCACAGGTTCAGGTGGAATGACATTTCTGGGGCACTATTCAGCCCTCACAGTCACCTTCCCCCATCTCCCCACACCCCGCCAGGGCCAGTCCTCCCCAGCACTCTCCTCCTTCCCCATGGGGCCTGATCCCTGCTCATGGCCAAGACGTCCTGGGGGTGTTACTCGTAACATCCTAGGGAGATGCTCCACCTAATATCACAGCAGGAGTACACTGGCTTCTCTCACTCTGCAACCCCGGAGGCAACCCCGAGGGACTCCACTGGGTACTCTGGCTTGCACTGACCCTTCCACCTCTCTCATGTGACCTGGGGCGGGGGCAGGCTGTCTCCACCTTCCCAATCCCAAACCCACTGCCCAACCCAAGGCCCTCCATAGGGACGTCTTTGTTTGGACTGAGGCCCAGAGTCCCGGCATTTTCTGCCAGAAAGTCTTAGGCCAGCTTCGCCCAGACCTCGACCTGAAGGATGTTCACATGCTCCTTCAAAGTCCTCCCCATCAGTGCAATCAACAGAGTCATTCCAGAACGTCCAGACCCTCAGGGGTGTGGTTCGGGGAGAGCCTGGGGAGACAGAAACCCTTGGTAATGACCAGTGAACCTCTGTGTCCACAGGGCAGCCAGAGCAAGGAGGGGAAGGCGGTAATGTTTAGGTTATTTGTTGTCTTATCCAGAATGGTGATCCGTGAAGCCTGAAAGAAATTCTGAGTCGCCACAGAGAGTATGAGTGTTCTGGGACTGTGGGCGGGCTGTTGCTGTCCTTTTTGTTTTGGTTTTTTAATTATTTTTATTTTTTTGAGACGGTGTCTCGCTTTGTCACCCAGGCTGGAGTGCAGTGGCATGGTCTCAGCTCACTGAAACCTCCACCTCCCGGGTTCAAGCGATTCTCCCGCCTCAGCCTCCGCAGTAGCTGGGATTACAGGCATCCAGCATCATGCCTGGCTAATTTTTGTATTTTTGTAGAGACAGGGTTTCACCATATTTACCAGGCTGGTCTTGAACCTCAGGTGATCCACCTGCCTCGGCCTCCCGAAGTGCTGGGGTTACCAGCATGAGCCACTGTGCCAAGTGGGCTTTGATTTTATTTTGAATGGGAATGTGGTTCAAACGTATCCTCTCCAAAATTCAGATGTTGCCAATGTGAACGTTATGGAGAGGTGCCGCCTTTGAAGAGGCGATGAGGCCATGAGGACTCCTGACCTCAGGTGATCCACCCGCCTCGGCCTTCCAAAGTGTTGGGATCACAGGCGAGGGCCACCGTGGCTGGGGCTGACCTTCTGCACACAAGTGCTGTATACTTGACCTCTGACCTCTGTCCTGTAACCCAGGGCAGCGGATGTGACTTCTCCACCTTCTAAGTGCCCCACTGTCCTGGGGCAGCTCCTCTACTGGGTACCGGGGCTCAGGTCCTCTCCTGGGTCTCAGCAGGTTGTGGCCTGCCCCGGGGGCCGTGCACACCAGTTTCAGTAAGTGCTTGGTAGATCTGCTCCCCAGCACGGGGCAGGTGCTGGGACGGGATGCAATAGACTCGGTAACTCTGAAGGTGCAGACGTCTCTCGCACTCTGTCCACAGCAAGAGCTTTCACCAGCTGCAGAGCTAGAGCGGACTCCTGCACCAGCTCCGAAGGGAGAGCCGGCTCCACTACAACTCCAGTGCTAGTTCCAGGATAGAGTCGGCTCCACCAGCAGCTCCGGCAGCACATCCAGAGACAGGGCACGCCTCGCCACCCCTGTGCCGGCTCCAGCATAGCTCCAGCATCCACTCCAGCCACGAGCAGATCTGAAACCACCCGCACGGCGAGGGCCAAATATCAGTATCAGGTTCAGAAGCAGCCGGGGCGGCAGCAGCTACAGGAGCTATATAGCTGGCGCAGCCGCCAGGCCAGTTCCTGCAGGAGCTCAAAAGCCACAGCCACCACCAGCACAGCTTAGACTCACGCAGCCGCCCGGCCGCCTGCCGCCTGCCGCCTACTGCAGACAGGCAGCTCCATCGCCAAGTCCGTGCCACCCCGGTGACGGCGCAGGCACCAAAACCAGTTCCAGGGTCCGACCCAGTTCCCGGCCCAGCCCTCAAGCCAGTCCAGCTTCAGAGGCCGGACTGGCCGCAGCGCCCCCTCCAGAGCCGGAGCTGGCACCAGAGGGAAAGCGGGACCCACGCGCTCGTGGAGCATCCTCCTGACCCGGCCTGGGAAGCCGTCGCGAAAACGGGAGCCACGCGTGTCCATGGCGTGCCCGGCACCCGGAGGGTCGGAGACGGGGCGGCACCCGCTGCGGGCTCCGTGGAGCGGTCGCGGAGCAGGACATGGGTCACGACGCTGTCGCTGCTCTGCGTGGCGAACCCACGCGCCACCCGCCAGCCACGGAGCTGGGCCCACCTTCGGGCACAGGGAGCGGGGGGCACAGGGAGAGCGGGGGACACTGGGGGCCGCGGAACTGGGGGCACGGCGGCTCGGGCGGGCGCGGCGGGGAGGCTTGACCCTCACGGGCCGCCGTACGCGCTATAAAAGGCGCGGCGCGCCCTCCCCCCGACCTCTGCGCGCCCGGCGGCTGTCACGGTGAGTACGCTCCTCGCCGCCTTCGCCCGGGCCCTTCCCGAGCCCGCTCCCGGTCTACCGCCCTGCAGCTCGGCTCTCCCGGGCGCGGCGCGGTCTAGGGGGCTCCGGGTGCGAGGCGGGGGCGGGCGCTGACCCGGGGCGCCCTGGCCGCGTGAGCCGCGGGATGGGGGCCCGGGCCCCGGAGTAGGCGCGGTGCTGTGTTCCTCCCCGCGCGGTTTCCAGCCAGGAAGCTTCGGGAAGCCTGGTGAGAGCCGAGTGCGAGAATTCGGATCTAAGCGGAAAGCGCCCCGCTCACCCGCGACCCTTCCGCCCCTGCTGCTGCGTCCCCGAGTCGCGGCGGCTTTGGGGACGTCGCCTCGTGTGTCGGCATATTCGAGAAATGGATTTCTCGTGCTGTGTCCACGAGCCGGGTGTTTCCGTGTGACTGGCCGCTCAGCGGGAGGCTGTCGTGGCGGAAGGAGTCCGGTGACTGCCGGACTAAATACTGTTTTACAGGACAGGTGCGCGCTTGTCCTTGGTGGGCATCCGCCTTGTGGTCCTGGTCCCTGGACACCTGCAGGGGATCATCTTTCCGTGGCCACTGTTGTGACTCAACTTCCCCTCCTGCAGATTAAGCAGAGAGTAAGCGGAGGGAGTAACATGAGGCGGATTTTTCTAGAATGGCCCTTAAGACAGGGAGTTTTTGGTGGCAGGAACCTTTGGTCCGCCTTCCTGGAGATCAGATGCAGCAAATCTTTTTTTTTTTTAGACGGAGTTTCGCTCTGTCGCCCACGCTGGAGTGCAATGGCGAGATCTTGGTTCACTACAACCTCTGCCTCCTGGGTTCAAGCGATTTTCCTACCCAGTCTCGAGAGTAGCTGGGATTACAGGCCTGCCGGCTAATTTTTTTTCTTTTTAATTTTTAGTAGAGACAGGGTTTCACCACGTTGGCCAGGCTAGTTTGGGACTCCTGACCTCAAGTGATATGCCTGCCTTGGCCTCCCAAAAAACAGTCTTTGTATGATGTCCCTCTGTGGTGTTTGCAAGATTTATATAAAATTGGGATTTGTTTTTCTCTAGGTCATCTACTCACTGGAAACACATGTGCGAGGGGTCCTAGGGTGTTGGGTAAGTTGGTGCATTGGTGCTGGACCAGGGTAACGCCCCGGTAACCGCCCCCCCCACCGCACCCGTGTAACTAAGCCCTGCTGTGGACATCTTCCGTGGACCAGTCGATCTTGCGTTCACATTGCACCTAGAAGCTCTCTCTCCAGGGGAATAAAAACGAAATCATTTCGTCTTGACAATTCTGCCCCTAGAGGCGTTGCAGATGTGGCTGCTGTGTCACATATGTGTCAATAGGTGGCAGAGATCAGAGAGGCTATGTCTACGGTCAGCGTTCTGCCCCGTGAACGTTTGAATGTTTCATAGTCTGACAGTCCTGATTTGTGGACTGGGCATCTGTTTTCCTGCACTGGCATCGGGGAGAGGCTGGGTCTTGTGAGTGAGCTTTCTCACCCTCGTGCCGTGCCGTGCCATGCTTGCTGTGCTGGTTGCTAGAGGTCTGAAGGGACAGTGGGAAGGTAGAGGGTGCCCTCACCAGGAGCAGCCTTCATTAGTGAGTGAGTTTATTTATTTATTTATTTTTTGAGACTGAGTCTGTCACTCAGGCTGGAGTGCAGTGGTGCGATCTCAGCTCACTGCAACCTCCGCATCCTCATTTAAGCAATTCTCCACCTCAGCCCCCTGAGGAGCTGGGATTACAGGCGTGTGCTGCCATGCCTGGCTGATTTTTGGTACTTTTAGTAGAGGTGGGGTTTCATCATCTTGGCCAGGCTGGTCTTGAACTCCTGACCTCGTGATCCACCTGCCATGCCACACACCATGTCAGGATCACAATGGACAGGGAAGGGTTCGCTGATGTTTCAGTTAATAGCAGTAATAGCAGCCCCTTACTGTGTTGATTCTGTGCCAAGCATTCTTGTTATTTAACACAGGAAGGCGGTGACTTAGCCTGTGATGGACTTCCAGTGTGAGCAGTGGCCAGAGTGAAGAGGCCAGCCGGCCCCAGCCCAGATCAAGGTAAGAGGCGAGGTTGAGGCTGGCCCACCCTCCCTCCCTGGCTGCAGGCTGCGTCTCTGGCTGCCGGGTGGGTGTGAGCGGCTGCCCTGCAGATGCTGTCCTGGACCTGCCGGCACTGCAGACATTTGCTCTGCTGTGCCTGTGACGTTGGGGCGGAGAGAAAGTGGCGATTTCTACACTCAGTGTTCCGGGGCCAGTGAGCACTGGGAATGGTTTATAGCCTGACATTACTCAAAGCATTTGGGTTTTTGCTTTGGAACCACCTTACCTGGTTTGCTCCGTGAGGGAGGGGCAGCAGCTTGCCAGGAACTGTGAGACATAGATATGTATAAATGAGGTGTGAGTGTGGATCCACTCCCAGGCCTTGTTCTGGAAACGGTTCCGTAGGTCTGTCTGGGAGGCCTTGGGCAAGTGTGACCAAGACCACCTGAGCTGGGATGGACAAGCTGTGCCTTGTCCAGCACTACTACTGCGGGGGTGCAATTCCTGTGCACAAAGCAAGGGCCCTGGGTAGGGGTCAGGAGGTGCCTTGCCTTGAGATGTCTCTGGGTCACTTTGGAACAGGATTCCTCTTCCCAAAATGGGTGGGAGTCGGGGGTGCAGCTGCATGTCCTGCAATGCTTGGGGCGCCCCACCGTGAAGAGTGCCCTAAGTCAGTAGTGCCAGTGTCAGACTTCTGCTATGAGGTCGTATCAGGAAAGATAACTGTAAAATACTATTATCACACCACTTTGGGAGGTAGAAGCAGGCAGATCGTCTGAGGTCCGGAGTTTGAGACCAGCCTGGCCAACAGCCTCAAACCTCATCTCTACTAAAAATACAAAAGGTTGTGGGCTGTAGTGGTGTGTGCCTGTAATCCTAGTGACTCGGGAGACTGAGGCAGGAGAATCACTTGAACCCGGGAGGTGGAGGTTACAGTGACCTGAGATCACACCACTGCACTCCAGCCTGGGCAACAAAGTGAGACTCCGTCTCAAAAAAAAACAAACCTTTAGGGAATTCATAAATTGTATTCCCTGAAGGTCATTTGGTGAATACAGGTTAAAGAAACCTGGTCTGCGGCACTGTCCTTGTTCGTTTTTCAGATGCAGAGGCCAGGATGTGGGCGCAGCCCTGTGCCAGGAGGCTGGCTGAAATAGAGGTACAGGCCTTGCTCCCTCTGGGACCACCGGCACCCAGGGTGTTTGCAACCTCAGAGCCCAGCTTTCCACACGGCCATCCAGGGCCACAGTTGCAGCTTTTGCTCTGCTTTCATTCCAGGGATGGGCAGGCTGGCATCGGGATGCCCACCGCCTCTGCCTGGGTAGTGCTGTGTGTTCCAGCCACCAGTGGCAGCTGCCGGGACCACCCCTCCATTTTAGTATCCCGATTCTTAAGTTCTGCCATTGTGGTATTCTGGTGGAAACAAAGAACCATTTGGCTATTTTTGAATTGCCTAGAATCTAAGACCCTGAGGTATCTTTTTTTTTACTATATTTGAGTCATCTTGTGTTGTTTTTCCCCCAAGGGGGAAAAATCTATATGGAAATGTTTATTTTAAAATACAGGATGAAGTGAATTAAAAGATTTAATGCACATTTCTTCAAGAATAATATTCTGTGTTGGCAAAATTTGAGAATAAATGGGTCTGGAGCGGAGTGAATTGTGTCTTGACTCGTCCATTGCAGAGCAGAGCCTGCACTGAACAGTGTTCCTGCGTTGGGGTCTTCCTGCCTGGGTCCTTGACTGTCCCCCTGGGGGATGGTTGCTGGGTTCCCCGGGCTACTGGGGAGAGCACAGGGCCGGAGAAGATGGCCATTCTGAGGTTGTTTCCTAGGGAATGAGTTCTACACCTCATGGCGGGAGTTTGTAAAATGTTTGCACCACATCTGTTTCACTAGAATGCCTCTTTCTTGGCCTGTTGTTGTGCCATGGTCCAGGTTTGGGGTCCTGGTCGTTGGTTCCTTCAGAAGCTCATTTTTGGGGAACTGCCCTGGCACCTTCAGCAGTGTAGGGCAGGCAGGGGCTCTAGACCAGACCTCACCTTTGACTGACATTGGAGGGCTGCCTCCCCAGGATTCAGGGGCCCAACCCCAGCCTGGGTGCCTGGGCCGGGTAGTATCTACAGTGGGGCAAAGGGTCCCATGTGCAGCGTCGATGGGGGTCAGGGTACTCAGCCCTGGGCATTACATAAAAGCTGTTTATTTATATCATGTTCTTCAGATTAACAAACCCCTTCCAGGGCCTCCTGCCTCTGCTCTAAGCTAGGATGTCCTTGTGTCTGTGGGATGGGGTCCAGGGCCCTGACCTCAGGGGAGTGATTCTGCAACAGCATTCCTAGAGGTGGGGCTGGACCCAGGCACCAGGCCAGATCCAGGAAGGGTGGCCAGGGCCCCCTGCTGCCACCCAGGCACCAGGCCAGCTCCAGGAAGGGTGGCTAGGCTAAGCCCCTGCTGCCGCCCAGGCACCAGGCCGGCTCCAGGAAGGGTGGCCAGGGTCCCCTGCTGCCACCCAGGCACCAGTCCGGCTCCAGGAAGGATGGCTAGGCTAGGCCCCTGCTACTGCCCAGGCACCAGGCTGGCTCCAGGAAGGGTGGCTGGGTATCTGCTGCCGCATCAGGAGTACTTGGTGTTGGAGATCTTCTTCCAGAGCAGGGTCTTGAGGTGGCTGAGCACCAGTGAGTGATGGGCCTCCACCTGGCTGGCCAGCCCGCTCAGCGTGGTGCAGGTGCGCAGCTGTGTGCCCAGCTCCTCGCGGAGGTCGGCGGGAGCACCGGGCAGCAGGTAGCCCCGCAGCAGCGCACACACCTTGGCCAGGTTGGGCTGGATGAGGTCACCCTTGCACTGCCGCATGAGCCTGTCACACGGGGCCCGGCAGTCGTGCCCGTAGGTGCAGTCGGTGCTGTGCTCGCAGCGGCGGCCCTGCAAGAAGCGGCGCACCGTGGCCTCAGGGGCCACCTGCTGCAGGTCGGCCATCTTGAAGTCGTAGGTGGCCGTGTAGCCCACGTTGGCCAGTGTGGTCTCACACATGTAGAAGGTCCCGTAGGCACCGTGGAAGAGCTCCTCCACGAATTCCAGCAGGCCGATGGCAATCTTGGCCCGCCATGGCCACGCGGGCCCCAGCCACTGCTGGAGGGCACCCTGCAGGGCCGGCGGCAGCAGCGGGCGCAGCAGTGGGGGCAGGGCGGCCACGTGCCAGGCACCGTGGGGCACGCCCTCAGTGAGGTAGAGGTCCCCGCAGTAGCCCAGCAGTCGGGAGGCGTGCTCCTTCTCCTGCAGGGACAGCAGCAGCAGGAACTCGTTACGCTGCAGCAGGGCCCACACGGACTTGGCTTCCGCCAGCGACACCCGGTTGTCCTTGTTGAAGTCAGCCATGAGCAGGACCTGGCCCACCAGCGCCGGCAGGGAAGGCAGGTCGCCCAGTTTCGCCTGGCATTTGGGACCAAAAGAAAGGAAAACCCAGTTGACTTGATGTCTGGGAGCCGGCCTTGACCCAGTCCTCCTGACAGAGCAGGTTGAGGGCCAGATCAGCACATCTGCCAGGTTGCGGGTACCAGGCTGCAGCCCCATGGGTGGAGGAGGCAGCCAGCGATGTGCCCACTCACCCTCTGGCCTGCGCTGCGCCTGCCAGACAGACCTCCCTGCTGCCCGGCAGCCTTGGGTGCAGCTCGGGTGCTTGGGGTTGGGCACCTGGGGAGAGAAGCCTCAGTGTTTCCCAGGATGAGAATCGGCGGACGGAGGGTACGTGCTGGCTGAAGCCCAGGGAGGCAGCCCCTCTCCGCAAGCCCTGGTCTCTTGCTGTGCTGAACCCATGGCCCTGGACTGTAGGAGCCTCCTCTTGACCTCAGGGCCTCAACTGCTGCCTGCCGGTCCCCCCAACCCCTGCCCCCAGCCCTGGAGAGGCTCCTTCCCTGGCAGGGCCCCTGCCCAGGGGCTGAGGGCTGGAAGGTCTGCCTGGGGTCCACTTGACCCATCTATGCCTTTGCACTGGGCATGTTGGTGCCAGGGCTAACTCCTGGGCACATGCCCTGGCATGGATTCCTGCCCAGGCCCTCAGGAGAGCTGCCTGACCTTGAGGAAGCTGAGGGTCATCTCCCGAAACTCCTTGATGGAGGTGCCCCGGGTAGGTTTGTCGAACAGCACCAGCTCCCGCCGGGGGGCCGCGTCCGACTGGGCCTTGGAGTCCAGCGCCTCCTCGATGCCACACTTGATGGTCACATCCTTGTCTCGCCAGAGCCCACTGTATACCTGGACAGGGCCACAGGACCTTGGTGCAGACATCCCCCTCCCCCTGCATGGGCGCATCAGCCCCAGGCCCCCCTCCCTGCCTGAGGCTATACCTGCTGGCCGGGGGCTGCCGAGAGGCAGGTCCTCCATTCCACCAGATGCAGCTCACACAGGTCCTGGCAGATGGAGCCTGAGATGATGCCCTTGTGGTACTGGTCACACTGAGGGGACAGGTGCAGGGTGTGGGGGGGACAGTCGCAGGGTGTGGAGGTGCCAGCCACGCCCCCTGACCCGCCAAGCCTCTCCCCACCCATCCAAAGCCCAGCTGCACCCATTCCTCTGGGACCCTTGGGAGGGAAGGACCACGGGCAGGGCCAGGTGGGTGGGAAGGGGCATGGAGAGCCAAGCTGCCATCACTGTGGTCACTGCCTCAGCACCCACTGGGCCCCTGTTCTTCAGCCATCTTTTTTCAGACCCCCAAACTGCCAGAGCTGGCGACTGGGCTGCCTCCAGCCCATGCCCATCCCTGAGCCACGCTGCGGGCTCAGCACCAGACAGCTGGCAGGGGCCTCCACTTGCTGCAGTTTGCAAGCTGCCAGCCCCTCACACAGGCAGTGCTGGGCCCTGGCTCATGCGATCGGCGGCTGCAGGGTGGGCCTGTTGGCTGTAGGGGCAGCCCCGCCAACCCCCAGTCTGGTCTCATCCCGTCCCGTCCCCACCGTCCTGGATCCTGTAACGACAGCACAGCCACGGCCACGGCCTGGACGTGAGACAACACCACACCCAGTGGTTAAGCTGGGCCAGGGCTGGAGGCAAGAACCTGGAGGCAGCTCTCCCTCCCAGCAGCCCCGGCTCTCTGGACCATCCAGGCATTGGCTGGTGAACTAGATTCACCCTGTCCCCTGTGTCTACACCACCAGCTGCAACATGCATTCTCTCTGCCTGACTCTTCATTCCCCTCGGGGGACGCCCTCTCTGCCCAGATCAGTCAGTGAGGAATCTCTGAACTTGTTTTCTATGGTGATGACTGGACCAAGCGGGCAACAGAGCCCTACCTCCGCCTCCTCTCCCAGCCCCAAGTGGCCAATGCCCAGGCTCAAGCACTATGGCTGTTGTCACAACTATTTGTTAAGACTTGGAAACGGACCCCCAGGGCCCCACAGTGACTCCCCGGCCTGCCCTTCCCGGTCCCACAGGCCCCCTCCTTAGCCAGACCCCCAGGGAGACACTGTTAGTGGTGATTAAATAAGGCCTGGACCTGGCTGCTGCCTCTCCTCAGTCCCCAGCCTGGCAGCCCCTGAATCCCAGTGCTTCACAGGAGGTGACAGAACACAGAGATGGCCCACCCCTCTGTGGGAGGGGAAAGAATTTCTGGATGTACAGCCTCCGTTGCCATGGAGCCTGTCCAAGCAGGCTCAGAGGGAGCTGGGAAGGGAGCTTCAGAACATCCCACTCTTTAGGGCTGGGGGAGACGGAGGGTCCCCTGCCCCCCACCCCCCAACCCCCCCATCCCCCATGCCCAACACACCAGGGATGGGGACAGAAGTGAGAGGGGCCAACTGGAGGCTGAGGAACCCCCACGTGAGTCCTGAAGGCAGCGTCTGTGGCAGCAGCATGGAAATGCCGTCTCTTCATCCAGACAGAAGAGGAGGATGAAGGGAACGTGCACTCGTCCAGCCCCTCACCTTGCAGGCAGGGCCCTCCGACCTTGCAGGCAGGCCCTTCACGGCAAGGTCCCTCCCGTCCCCAGACCAGCTCCTTGCGTCCGGAGCCCCAGATCCACCGGAGACCCTGCTCCTGGTACACGCTGCCCTCCGCCAGCTGGGGCTGGGTCTCCGGCTCCGGGGTCCCCCAGGGGTGGGAAGGGGCTTCCTCAAAGGCTGAGGTGGGGTGGGAGGGTGTGCTTGGCATCCTTGGGCACCTCCTCAAAGGCTGAGGTGGGGTGGGGGTGGTGTGCTTGGCATCCTCGGGCACCCCCACCCCACACATCGGTCCCCAGCCAGTCCCATCGCCCAGCCTGTCTCTCGTCTGCAGCAGGGCCCAGTGGGACTCAGTGCAGTTCTCGGCCTCTTGAGGGCCCTGGTGGAACCCGGGACTGGCCCCGCACTAATGCCACCTCGATGTGTGAGCTGGGGCCAGCCTCTGAGCCTCTCTGAGGCATCCAGTGCCCCGATGAGGCGAGGCAGGTAGCCTCCTCTGGAACGGAGGGAATGTCTCCATGGCCCCGGGGCGGCTTTGGGAGAGCTGGGCTTGGCCTGACCTCTGGGAAGGCTATGAGCAGCCATGGAGATACCGCTGTGCGAAGGGCCAGGGCACCCTGGGAAACTGAGGCCACAGCTTCCTCTTGTTTGGGGGACACCTCCTGCTCCTCAGCAGACTCTGCAGCCAGGCACCCCACAGGTAGATACTCAGAACCCGCCTGGCAATGTGAATCCTCTGCCCACTCCCACCTGCCGTCCCCCACCACTCCACCCCGACCTGGAGGTCCAGCCCCTCCACCTCCTGTCCTTCCAGGAGTCCCCGGGGTGCACGACTCTGGGCGCAGCCTTCCCCACCCATGGCCCCAGGATAAGCCCAATGTACCACCCCCATGCCATGCTGAGCCTAGAGGCCCCCTGGACTTCGAGGGTGAGCAAGCCTGGTGCCAAGAGCCTGGAGCCCTCCTGTGGGCTGGCATGGGCTCCAAACAAGTCCTGGGCACAGAAGCTGTTGCTTAAGACCCCATACCCCACTCCCCCTCTGCCACCTCTGGGCCTTTCCACATGTGGCCCCATCATACATGGCTCTATGGGGCACAGGTTTGCCCACAGCTACCTGGTGGCTTCATCCACCACCCAGCTGCCAGGAGAGGCCCCTCCCTATCTGACGGAGGTGGTGCTGAACCAGGGGTCTCCCTGCACCCAATCCCCCCTTCCATGACCCACAGCAGCTGCTGCTACAGGGCAGGCCCTTCTCTGCCCAGGCCGGGCCCCAAGGGGAGCGGAGCTTTGGAACCCTGGTCATCGGCCAGGCCGGGGTCAAAATGGCCTGGGGGACCTGCCTAGCTCTGGGCGAGTCCAGGGTCTGCCAGGAAGATGGAGCTGGAGCTCCCCTCCAGCTAGTCACAGGATGCAGAAAGAGGAGCGGGAGTCACCTCGGTGTGGACTCGTGGCCACGCTTGCTCCCAGACACACACATGCTCACACACGCCAGCGGACTTAGCCCTGTCTTCCTGAGGGGGAGGCTGTGGAGAACACTGCCCTACCACCTGCCTCTGGGACCCCGGGTTCCAGGGGAGCTAGAAAAGCCACTGAGGCCAGCATACGGGGGCCTCCATCCCGGCCAGTGAGGCCAGCTGCCCACCCACCCCAGGCTTCCTGCTAAACAGCCTCTCTTTCAAATGTTTCTGGAGTCTGCCCTGCTGTCTGCCCCCAGCCCCCAGCCTCTCCTGCTCTCCTGGGCTCCTGCAGCTGCCCCCATATCTCCCCATCCTCCCCTAGAACCCCATCTTTCTCCCCCAGCTGGAGGCAGCCCCCCATGTCTCCCTGGGCCCTGTCCTCCACACCCAGCCAGAGGCAGCTTTGCAGATTCCACCTGGAAACCCATACGTCTCGTGGGCCCTGGGTTGGGAGGAAGGCGTCTCCAGGGCCTAGTGCCCCAGCATCTTGGGCAGCAAGGGGGCACGGCCCAGTCCCCAGCCCACACAGCAACACTTACAATGACCGCCTGGCAGATGTGGCCGCGACAGAGCTCTGAGTAGGACGAGTAGCGCATGTACACCAACCAGCTGCCCGCAAACACGCCCAGCCAGGCCAGGAAGATGCACCTGACCCTCAGGCCTGGGAGCCGGCCCTGTGGGGGAAGGGGCTGAGTGAGGAGTGCCCTCAGGGCATCCACACTTCGGGGTGCTCTCCTCCGGGTCCAACCCAGTCTTTGCCTGCCATCCCCTTGGCCGGCTGGTGCCCCCATCTTCTAGAACCACCCCTAGCTCAGTGATACCCCCCTCCTGGCTCTGCCTCTCCAGGGTCACACACCAGGGGCTGTGGGGGGTGGAGGTGGGGGCAGGCACCGCCCAGACCTTTCAGTGTCATGGGCAGGTACAAATAAATGTCAAAACCAGGGGACTACCAGGTGGCTCTTTCCTTTGCTAAGGGAAGACATTTTTACAAACCCTTCCTGTCCTGACCTCATTTCGTAACTGTCACCTCTGCACAAGGCAGGTGAGCAGCCCACCGTAATGCAGATTGCTGGGAAGTTCTGGCCAGACCAGGCCAGCAGGGAGAACCAGGTTTGGAGAACCGGGCTGCAGGACCCCAACTGAGCCACATCTAGGAAGCCTTTAAGAGACGCAGGTCTGCAGGTCCGAGGTTCAGGGGCTCACGCCTGTAATCCCAGCCCTCTGGGAGGCTGAGGCAGGTGGATCACTTGAGCCCAGGAGTTTGAGACCATCCTAGGCAACATAGTGAACTCCTGTCTCTACAAAAATACAAAAATTAGCTGGGCGTGGTGGCTCACCCTGTAATCCCAGCTTTCTGGGAGGTTGAGGCAGGTGGATCATTTGAGCCCAGGAGCTGGAAACCAGCCTGGGCAACATGGTGAAACCCCATCTCTATTAAAAATATCAGCATTAGCTGAGCATGGTGACTCGCACCTGTAGTCCCAGCTACTTGGGAGGCTGAGGCAGGAGGACTGACTGAACCCAGGACGTTGAAGTTGCAGTGAGCTGCAATTGCACACCACACTCCAGCCTGGGTGGCAAAGCGAGACCCTATCTCAAAAAACAAAAGATGCAGATTCAGACACTGATGTTCACAACAGCCCAGCGGTGGGCAGTGCTTGAGTTCACAGTGGGGGATGGTCTGTCCGTACCAGGGAGCATGACTGCACCCTGAGAAGGAAGGAGATCCTGCCATTCACCACAGCAGGGAGGAACCCAAGGACGAGAGTTTCAGTGAAACCAGCCCGTCACCAAAGGACAAAGCCTGCAGGACCTCACTTACACGAGGTCCCTGGAGTCACCAAAACCACAGAGACAGGAAGGAGAGTGAGGGAGCTGGGGGCTGGGAGGGGCGGGGAGTGTGTGTGTGATGGGGACAGAGCATCGGTTTGGGGGATGGAGAGCTCTGTGGACAGAGGGAGGCGGTCACCACACAAGGTGAATATATTTGGTGCCACTAAACTGCACTTCGACAGGGTTAAAATGGTATCGTTTATGCTATGTGTATTTTACCACAATTAAAAATTAAGGCCGGGCACAGTGGCTCATGCCTATAATCCCAATACTTTGGGAGGCAGAGGCAGGTCACCTGAAGTTGAGGCGGGTGGATCACCTGAGGTGGGGAATTCAAGACCAGCCTGACCAACATGGTGACATGCCGTCTCTACTAAAAATGCAAAATTAGCTGGGTGTGGTGGTGCATGCCTGTAACTCAGCTACTCGGGAGGCTGAGGCAGGAGAATCGTTTGAACCCCGGAGGTGGAGGTTGCAGTGAGCTGAGATCAGGCCATTGTACTCCAGCCTGGGCAACAAGAGCAAAACTCCGTCTAGAAAAATCGAAAAATTAGCCGGTCATGGTGGCACACACCTGTAATCCCAGCTACTCAGGAGGCTGAGGCAGGAGAATCGCTTGAACCCGGGAGGCAGAGGTTGCAGTGAGCCGAGATTGCACCACTAGACTCCAGCCGGGGCAACAGAGCAAGACTCCATCATAAAAAAAAAAAAGTAAGCACACAGCCCCTGGCCCCTTCCTAAAGCTCTGACCCAGATGTCTGGGAACTGGCTTTTAGGGAGGGCTTCAGGTCCCTCTGCTGTCCTCAGTCCCTCTGCCTCAGTTTCCCTGCTGGCACAGGCTCTAGAGTGTTGGCTCACAGTGTTGGGTGAGCCATCCCCACCTAGGCCTCCAAGCTGGGCTTCCAAGGGTGACAGCCAGGAACAGCTGGGTGCCACCATCCCTCTCCCAGCCTCCTAGCAAATTTCAGGCCTCTCAGGCACTGTCCAGGAGTGGCCAGCAGAGGGGACTTGCCCCATGCAGGGGCTCAGACATCCCTGACGTGCAGCTGAAGGCAGAAGGGTCCAGGCTTCGGGGCCAGCTTCCCCCAGAGAGGCCCCACTGCTGGCTCCAAGTGCCCCTTGTGGCCTCCTGTCCACCGGTGGCCAGGGAGAGGATGCCCACTGGTCAAATCTCCTCCTGGGAGTGCCTGGCCACATGCCCACCTGGCCAAGTCAGGGCTCCCGTCAGAGGTCATGGGCTACAGCTCTGCTCTTGCCATGAGTAGGCACCTCCTTCCTAAAATGAGGCCACCAGCCTCTTGATGAAGACAAGGCAGCTGGGGTCATTTTTCTGGTTCTTTCCGGAGAGGTGGGCCCTGGCCTCCTGCTTCCCCACCCACTTGTGGCCACCTCAGGCAGGGCTACGGAGGGAGGACCCCAGCAGTCGGGGAAGGACCCAGAGCTCCGGTGGCAGTGGGTCCTGGGGGCCTGGAACAGACGGGGTGGCTGGCGGGGGAGCCCTCCAGGCCCAGGTGGGTTCCGCCCCCTCAGACCACTTGTCCTGGGCACTGCGTCTGTTTCCGGTAGATTTGCTCAAGATGAAAAACAGGAAAGCAGAGAAGCGGTGGGGCGTGGGAGTTCTGGCAGGATAAGGGCCAGCGGCTCCCTCTGGGGTGAACGTGCCTGAGGCAGGGCCATGCAGGGAGGCCTAGCATGGGCGGGGCCTAGGAGGAAGCCAGGAAGGGGAGGCTGTGGCCGGCCAGGGTCCAGGGGTGACACCAAGCTGGGGACTCACCTAGTTCTGCTTCCCAGCGCCCTGTCTGGGCTTGGGCCAGGGCCTATTTCCACCTGGCGGGCTCTGGTTCATCCCCAGTTCTTTTGTTGTTCTTTTGAGATGGGGTCTTGCTGTGTTGCCCAGGCTGGAGTACAGCGGTGCAGTCACAGCTCACTGCAGCCTCCAGCTCCCAGCAGATCCTCCCACCAAGCCTCCCAAGGTGCTGGCATTACAGGCATGAGCCGCCTTGCCTAGCCTTCCCCCAGGCCTTGATCATACATGGGCACTTCCCCAGCTGCCATCCCTGACCCGCTCTGGGTCCTGGGGTCCCAAGCAGCAAGGCCCCACAGTGCCCCCTGGCCCACCCTGACTCCTGGGCCTGGCATAGCTTGAGTGTGGAAGCTGCCCCACCATCTGGGACCTGGGCTGGGCCTTTGCAGGGCAGGCACGGACCAGCTCCGGGTGAAGCCACTTCAAGGGTGTGGAGGGTCATCCAGGGGATGCGACAGCATTATAGTCCTCAGCCCAGCAGGTGCAGACTGTGGGCTGGGAGCCCCACAGCACTAACCCAGGGGGGCAGTTCACAAGGCCAGGAGACTGAGGCCCATGCCACAGGAGGGGCAGGGTGGGCTCCCACTGGAGTTCTGGTCCTGAGCCAGCCACCCCGGGAGCAGCCAGCACCCCTCTCCTGCCATTCCTGGGCGGAGCTCCCGGCATCAGCATCTCTTCTACAGCTGCTGGCCCAGGCCCTTCCTCCAGTCAGGGGACCACTGCATGCCCCCCTCTCCCAGCGATTGGAGTGGTCTCACACCCTTTAGCTAATACCCTGCCCCAGGGCTGGGCTGGGACGGACCACCACACCCTGAAGTCCCAGGTGGGCACAGAGGGTCTCACTGCAACCCGAGTTGCTGGGTTTCACACCCTCTTCCTGGAAGGGGAGCTGAGGCCAGCCAGGCCCTGAGCCCAGGCAGGACCCTGGCAGGTATCCTCCTGCTGACCCCAGGACTGCTGGGTGGGAGCCAGGGAGGTACAGGCAGATCTGACCAGGACCGGCTCCTCTGACAGATGGCTGGGGTTCTGGAGGGCCTGGGACCGCATCCCCTCAGAGGCTGCCCGGAGTGATGGAGCCTGATGGGCCTGGCCTGCATCCCCCCAAAGCAGAAGGTGAAAGGGGCTTCCAGCAGCTGGAACCCAAGGCAGCCAGGCCCTTGGAGGGGACGGTGACTTGTACAAGGTCATTTCGGGGTCGGGGCAGGGTCCCTGCACTAAGACCAGCTGATGGGATGAAGAGGGGCGGGGCAGGGAGGTCACGTCCTTGCCAGGACGTTTCTGTGTGTCCCAAGTTTTCCACCGCAGAATAACACACCTTATTTTTTAAGTGGAGAAAAGGGGAAAGGACTTTTGTGTGGCTTCTGGGCCTGGGGGCAAGGACCGCCTGCAGGTCCGGGCGGGGGCCTCCAGGCCGCAGCATCCCCGCGCCCGGACCCTCTCGTCGCCACCACGGACCCTTCCGTCGCCACTACCGCCCCTCCCCCAAAGTCCCGGTCTTCCCGAGCCCCCGCCCCTCCCCGCTGCCCACTCGGGCTCATGAACCGCTCGTGTCCGAACCCGGGGCCCCGCTCCGCGCTCGGCCCACCCCCGGGGCTGGACCTCGGTCTCCCCGCGCGGAGGCGGCCGGGGGCGGCGGGCGCGCGCCGCGCTTACCTGCAGGCCCTTGGAGAAGGGGCAGAAGAGCACCAGGTGCGCCAGGCGCCGCAGCCGCCGCATGGTGGGCGCCGGCCGGGGCTACGCCGGCCCCGCGGTTCGCTCTGCCTCAGCCCCGGCCCGGCCCGGCCCGCAGCGGGCCGCCGCTCCCTCGCCATGCGGGCCGCGCGCCCCCAGGCCCGCGTTAAAGGCGAGGGCGCGCGCCTTTCTGACGGCCGACCGTGGCGCGGCGGGGGCGCGCGGGGGCGGGGCTTGGCGCACGGCCCGCCTCGGATCCCCGGCTCGGCTGAGGCCCCGCCCACCAGCAGACCCCGCCCCTTCTGCCGCGGGGGCAGGGGGCGCGCGGGGGAATCCGGGGGCGCGCGGGGCGGCGCGGGTAGGGGCTGGGTACGCGCCTGCCGGGCTCTCGGTGTCTCGAGGGCGCCTCCGAGGTACGAGGGAGGCCCGGTGCGTTGCGCAGACTGCGGGGTTCAGGGCTTCCCCACGCGCGCCCCCGCTTCGAGGCCGCGGAGCCAGGGTTGGGCCTTCCCCTGGGTGCTCAGGATGGGGCCGAGCCCGCAGCCCGCCCTGGTCCGACCCTTCCCTCCCCGCCGAGACCGCGCGCCGTGGCCGCTCGCCACTAGGACACTCCAGGTGCCTCCGCGTGGGGTGCTCGGGGATGAGCCGCTGCCGCCTCCACAGGCAGGTTCCGTGTGAACAGAAGTTTTCATTGCACTTGGGTAAACACCTGGGGGGGCCGAGTTGGACGGCTAGGGATGTGGGGCGCCGCCAGCAGCTGCCTAGACGCGCTCACAGATGCTCCTCCTGCCATCCTCAGGTTTTAAAATTTTAGCCATTTCCCTGGTGGTGGCGTCTCGCCGGGGCTGTGGTTCGCGCTTCCCGAGTGAGGAATGAGGTTGAACACTTTCTGCGTGCTTAGTTGCAACCGTGTATCTTCTCCAGGGTCCATTCAAGTTTTTGACCATTAATAAAAATCACGTCGTTTCCTTATTTTGTACGTTTTCAGACTTCTGTACATTTTGGTTTCAATTTGAGAGGCTGGGACCCGGCGCGGTGGCTCACGCCTGTAATCCCAACACTTTGGGGGCCAAGGCGGGCGGATCCCGAGATCAGAGGTTCGAGACTAGCCTGACCAACATGGTGACACCCCGTCTCTACTAAAATTACAAAAAATTAGCCAGGTGTGGGGGCGGGCACCTGTAGTCCCAGCTACTCAGGAGTCTGAAGCAGGAGAATCGCTTGAACCTGGGAGGCAGAGGCTGCAGTGAGCAGAGATCACGCCACTGCGCTCCAGCCTGTGAGACAGAGCGAGACTTTGTCAAAAAAAAGAACGAGACTGGGTCTCACTATATAGCCCAGGCTGGTCTCAAACTCCTGGGCTCAATGGATCATCCCGCCTTGGCTTCTCAAACTGCTGGGATTACAGGCGTGAGCCACCATGCTGGCCTGAGACTTCTTTATATCTTCTGGTTATCTGTCCGTTATTACACAGGTGTTTTGCAAAGATTTTTCTCCCAGTCTGTGGCTTTCTTTTCATTCTCTTAACACAATTTCTTTTTTCCCTCCCTCCCTCCCTCCCTTCCTTCCTTCCTCTCTTTTTCTCCTTCTTTTTTTTGAGACAGAGTTTCACCCTTATAGCCTGTAAGTGCAATGGCACGATCTCAGCTCACTGCAACCTCCACCTCCCAGATTCAAGGGAGGCCTCTCCTGTCTCAGCCTCCCAAGTAGCTGGCATTATAGGCGCCTGCCACCATGCTCGGCTAATTTTTTCTAATTTTTAGCAGAGATCAGTTTTCACCATGTTGGCCCAGGCTGGTCTTGATCTCCTGACCTCAAGTGATCCACCGGCCTCAACCTCCCAAGGTGCTGGGATTACAGGCATGAGCCACCTCGCCTGGTCTTCAGATGATTTTAGACTTATAGAAAAGTTGCAAAAATACTGCAAGGAACGTCCATGTTTCCCTCACCCACATCCCACAAATGCCAGCATTTCCCCATAGCTGCTTTCCCCTCAAGCCCTCTCTCCCCAAAGCCTGTGGCTGTTCTGAGGACGCTGGAGGCGGGATGCTCTGCCACTCCCAGACCCTGGTGCCATTTCCTACAGACACAGACACTTGCTGACCCGACCACAGAGGTCACAGTGGGGGACACGGATGCAGACAGCACTGGTCAGATCCACACATGCTCGGACCTCCCCAGCCACCCCGCTGAGTGCACGATCACATGGTGGCTCTGCAGCCTCCATGTCCCAGGCTCAAGTGGTCACCCACCTCAGCTCTCCTGAGTAGCCAGGACCACAGGCATGTATCACCATGCCCAGCTGAGTTTTTATTTTTAGTAGAGATGGGATCTCACTACATTGTTCAGACTGGTCTCAAACTCCTAGCCTCAAACGATCCTCCCCATCTCGCCTCCCAAAGTGCTGAGATTCCAGGCATGACATGCTGTACCCAGCCAGAGGAAGGCAGTTCTGACTCGGGCTACGCAGGTAACTCGTGAAGCCATCATACTGAGTGAAAGAATCCGGGTGCAAAGGTCCACGTGGCTCTGATTCTGTTTCTGTGAAAAGCTGGGGAACAGGCAGATCCACAGACGTGAACATGAGTAGTGGGCTGGGGAGGGAGGAATGGGGAGGGAGTGCACCTGGGGAGGGCGTTTCCCTGTGGGGGACGAAAATGCTCTGGAGGTGACAGTTACAAAACACTGGGCACACACTGAAAGCGCGACATTATACACTTTATTTGTCTTTTCTTGAGACAGTCTCACTCTGCCACCGAGGCTGGAGCACAGTGGCACCATCTCAGCTCACTGCACCTCTGCCTCCCTGTTCAGGTGATTCTCCTGCCTCAGCCTCCAGAGTAGCTGGGATTACAGGTGCCCGCCATCACGCCCAGCTAATTTTTTGTATTTTTAGTAGAGATGGGTTTTCACCATGTTTGCCAGGCTGGTCTCAAAATCCTGACCTCAGGTGATCTGCCCATCTCAGCCTCTCAAGGTGTTGAGATTACAGGCGTAAGCTACTGTGCCCGGCCAAATTGTACACTTTAGAATAATTTTATGTTATGTGAGTTTCACTTCAATAAAAAATATAGGTAAGGGCTGGGTGCTGTGGTTCATGCCTGTAATCCCAACGCTTTGGGAGGCTGAGGCCGGTAGATCACTTGACGTCAGGAGTTTGAGACCAGCCTGGGAAACATGGTGAAAGCTCGTCTCTACTAGAAATTCAAAAGTTAGCTGGGCGTGGTGGTGGGCGTCTGTAATTCCAGCTACTCAGGAGGCTGAGGCAGGAGAATAGCTTGAACTCAGAGTCAGAGGCTGCAGTGAGCTGAGATCAAGCCATTGCACTCCAGCCTGGTCCACAGAGCAAGATTTTATCCCCCTCAAAAATACAGGCAAACAAAAATAAGCTAAGTTAGCTGTGACCTGGCCATCCAATAGCTGGAATCACTGTGGAGCCCAAACGTATAGCCTTCCAGCTTGGGAACTTTTGAGCAAATGTACACACCGTCACACATCCGTGCACACATACACAGGCACGAACATGCATTTGCATAAAGGGGCTACTTTACGTTGTTGCTTTTTTCTGAAGAATTGAGGGCCTCAGCCATATTCTTGGGAATCACGAGCTCTTTATTTTATTTTTTAGAATAAAGACGGGGTTTCACCATGTTGGTCAGGCTGGTCTTGAACTCCCGACCTCTGGTGATCCACCCACCTTGGCCTCCGAAGTGCTTGGATTACAGGCGTGAGCCACCACGCCCGGCCGGGAATCACAAGTTCTAAGCAAAGTTTTAAACGTTATGTTTTTGTGCTGATATGTAAAAAAAATTGTCTAACCACTAGCATAAAGCAAAGCTTCCCTTGGGCATCAGAAAGACTGTTTTTTTCCCCAAACTCATGGATTTCGTGAGGGCAACCAGGCAGCGTGAGATCCTCGTGGGTCTTCAGGCCAATCTCCAGGCTCCTGGGGGACCTGCATCTCCTTTAAAGGGATATGAATTCAAGTTCAGGACGTTCTGGACCATCGCTCCACTGTAGAAATTGCTGCTAGGCTTGGTGGCTCATGCCTGTAATCCCAACACTTTGGGAAGCTGAGGTGGGGGGAATCACCTGAGGTCAGGAGTTCGAGACCAACCTGGCCAACCTGGTGAAAACCCATCTCTACTAAAAATACAAAAATTAGCCAGGTGTGGTGGCACGAACCTGTAATCTCAGCTACTTAGGGGGCTGAGGCAGGAGAATCACTTGAACCCAAGAGGCAGAGGTTGCAATGAGCCGAGGTCACGCCACTGCACTCCAGCCTGGGCAACAGAGGAAGACTCTTGTCTCCAAAAAAAAAAAAAGGTTGCATAATGTTCTGTTCATTGGATGGACCCTGATTTATGCAACCGAGTGTCTCCTGGCCAGCACTTAGGATGTTGCAAACTGTCACTTTTCTGAAACATGCTGGGTGAACGACCTGGCTAGATCTGTGTCCTGTTCCTTAATTATTAACTCCAGACAGATTCCTGCAGGTGACATTTTTGTGTCAGAGGCTTTTAACGAGTGGCTTTCCATCATAACCTGCTCCAGAGAGCAGGGTTGCCCTGGGAGTAGCTGAGGCGGAGATGGAGCCCAGCCTCGTCCTGTGGGACTCCCCGGTGGCAGCACTGTCTGCACTCTGGGGCGTGGCCCTGGGGGGCTGCTTCCCTCCTGCAGGCACAACCTTGGGGGTACAGACCACCCCTCCCTGTGACCCCAGCCTCTCCAGCCCCCCACCCACCCTCCTCTGGTCCCGTCATCTTTTGGTCCCAGAATTCATGTGGTCCTGCCTTGCCTTGGAGCCAATGCTGTCCCCTATGCCAGGAATTCCAACCACCCGCCTGATGGCCCCGTGAGCAGTCCACCCCGGGGACCAGCGCCTGTTACCCCTCTTTCATGGAGACCCTCCTGATCCAACAGGTCATCCAACAGGAGAGACCCCTAATGCTGGGCTCCCCACTCGACCCCAAGCCCCTCTGGTAGATTCCAGCATGCCTGTCTCTGCCCCAGTCCTGACCACCGCTGATTCCTTACCTCAGCACAGGGATGGGAGCATGCACACACACACTCACACTCACATGAAGGTGCACCCAAGGGCTAGCTCCCTCACACCCCACTCATGCCCAAACACAGTCCTTTTAGAGAGCTCACTGACACACATGTGCACTCACACACATGCGATCATGCATGTGCACACACACGC